ACAGCATATTTATTCAGGAATAAAATATTTACACTACCTGTATGTTCTCAGTCTGCTTTTATAATACTGGTACCTTCACCATTCCTTACTACAGTACAATGTCATTATTTTGTACAAAATACAAACCTTAAGTATTCTCCGGGTGTAAAGTATGAGACACCTTATCTAAGCCTTAAAAAATTATAGTGAGACTTTACGATATTCCCAGAAGTTTAGGGGTCTATACAAGCTTTGATTTACTTAATTTATTTCAATCACAATCACACACACAATGAAGTACAAAGTAATTGAACACAAACCTCACTAAAAATATACTCATTCCAACAAGGTGTTTTCCTCAACATCCAAGATATATTTATTTTCAAGAGTTTATTGGGGTCCACGACATCACACGTGACTTTTATATTGATCCGGCTGTCCTTGAACAAGCTCTTCTTCACTCCAACGTACTCGAGGCCCTGTACAGTACACAGACGAAAGTAGTTATCCAAACGTCTAAACTTGCCACCAGAACACTTTCATTTCTATATTATACTGTGCATATATATATATATATATATATTTATTTATATACCGTATACAGTATTATATATATTTTACATCCTACATTTTTCAGCTAACAGACCACATACAGCTTTTCAGACCTAACCTTACCCAACCTAACACACAAATATTGTCTAATATATATATTGTCTAGTACACATTGTCTACAAAATGGTTTAGCATAAAATGGCTCGCCTATAAAATTAAAAAAATTTAATTATTCCCGTCGTCGGGGACAGGAAGCCTGTAATCAACCTTATCAATGTTCCCGTAAGGCCATAACTACTCGCCTTCCCTACGATTTGCCTACAGTGTGCCTACAGAGGGCACTCCCTACAATACCTCGAGTCCTACCTTACTGACAGGCTCCAATATGTTTCTGTGAATAATACAATTTCTCCCACCCTACCCATCAACATTGGTGTTCCTCAGGGCAGCATACTTGGCCCTCTCCTCTTTCTCATCTACATTAATGACCTTCCAAATGCCTCCCAACACCTCAAACCAATTCTATTTGCTGACGACACAACCTTCATTTACTCCAGTCCTGACCCTCTTGCTCTAAATGCCACAGTAAATACTGAGCTAAATAAAGTCCATCATTGGCTAACTGCCAACAAACTCACCCTTAACATTGACAAAACCTTCTATATTCTGTTTGGCAATAAATCCTCTAGTCTTATAAATCTCAAAATAAACAATACCCAAATTTGTAACAAATTAGATGGCAAATTCCTTGGCATTCTCATTGACAACAAGCTGAATTTCCAGGGACACATTCTAAATATATCAAAAAAAGTTTCAAAAACTGTGGGCATTCTTTCTAAGATCAGATATTATGTACCACGCCCTGCTCTGGTGACTCTCTATTACTCCCTTATCTATCCTTATCTCAACTATGGTATTTGTGCTTGGGGTTCTACTACCCAAAATCACTTACGTCCTCTAATTACCCAACACAAAGCCGCTATTAGAACAATATCCAACTCTGGCCCCAGACATCACTCGGTACCCCTACTCAAATCTCTTAATATGTTAGATATTAAGTCACTGCACATTCTCTCATGTGTATTATACATATATAAAACGCTAAACTATAATGCCAATCCTGATCTTAAAAGCTTCATAGAAGGTTGTAACAGAACCCATGAGCACCACACCAGAAATAAATACAGTTTTGATATTCCTAGAGTACGTCTTAATCAAACTAGAAATGCTCTGCAAATCAAGGGGCCCAGAATGTGGAATGACCTTCCCAACCATGTTAAAGACTGTCCCTCTCTCAACCAGTTTAAGATAAAAACTAAACACTACCTAATAAATTCCCTGTAATCTACCTCACTCCTCTATTGTCAACCCATGTCTGTTATTTTCTTTTTTTTTCTTTTTTGTAATCAACACTGTTTGTCAACCTATTGTATTTGTGCTGCTTTTTCAGTCATGTTCCCCTTTTTTTTTTATCTTTATTTGTATTTGTTCTCAACATCTTTTATTCTTTATGCTCAATTAGTATTAAGTTCTAGATATTAATGTTTTTCTTGCCCGAAACGCATTGCGTAATAGTGGCTTTAGGCATTGTATGTACTAGCTCTATCTATATATCAATCCATTAATGTAACATCACTTGTATGTATATACCTTACCTGAATAAACATCTGAATCTGAATCTGAATCTGATTTCCTGCCCTGCCCAGACTGAACTCCGATCCCTCGAATGCGAGTTGAGGATGTAGCCCACTGTGCTACAGAGCCCAAATGATGTGCAAAATAACTGAATTTACCTGTGTTACCATCTCTCTAGTGGCCTCGACGAGGGCAGGAAACCGGCGTCTTGTCAAAGGTCACCATTTGTCCTGATGATTTTATCCACCCCAGCCTACTCTACCAGATGTAAACCTGGTACAGTTTACCTAATCCTACCCTAATCCTGCCCCTAACAGTCTAAAAAGGCAACATTATCCCATAAGTAATTCATGTAAATTATTCTCCCCTGCCAACACACACGCCTAGATTAATCCCGAGGGAACACCATAATTACCGGTCTGGTGGTGAGATGCCATATTCCCTGCTCTGGGAACCCACAGACACACACCGCGAGCAACAGCGTCAATATCAGAGGTCCTTGCATCGTCAATTTTTTCCTCCTGAAACACCCCCGTCAAGTTGTCATATCTTTGCAACCATACAGCAGACGTCAACAACCAGCTGAAGAGCGGATAGGTGCCTCGAGAGCATTCCCGGGAGAGCCTGTTGACAATCCGGTAATCTACATATAGAATCCGGCGCTGCAAGTTCACCAGCTACGTCAACCTCATACCTTATACATTTTAGAAGGTTCATTCATCTATCACGACCAGCCTTAAAAATAACTATATTGGGTCGTAATTTAATTTTTTATGGGAAAAACACAAAAATGTAATAATTATATGAATGATAACGTATGATCACATATAATCCACCCAAGGGAAAGGACAAATATATATACAAAATGCATAAATATATCACAATCTCTCCATAATCTATAGATTTGATTTAACGCTGTATATATGTGTATGTATGTATGTATGTATGTATGTATGTATGTATGTATGTATGTATGTATGTATGTATGTATGTATGTATGTATGTATGTATGTATGTATGTATATTATGAAGGATGACAGAGTTAGCTATGACAGGATGAGCTAGAGCTAGCTATGAATTCATTTAATATCTGTAGCGAGAAAACCTTATATACTCGCTCCATTATCTCATCATTTTAATGGCGTAACTAATTAGCACTAACTAGACAAGCTATAATCCTATCGCTATTTACAGGTAACAGTTCTTCCAGCCTCCTATCTTATTGGAGGGAGCTGAGGTGTAGTCACCATCTATAAGCAAGCGATATGAGAATAGAAAACGGGTTACGGGCTATTCATGTCCGTGCCACCTCTTGGGTGGCTTAACCTTTATCAATCAATCAGGTCGCGACACTCACGGGAGACATATCCCGTCACGCAGGGTGCAGTCGCACCTCCACAGATCTCCTGTAATGCTCCAAAAGGCCACCACTTACGGGCTATTCATGCCCGTGCCACCTTTTGGGTGGCTTAATCTTCATCAATCATCATTATAGAAAACAGTACAATTTCCAGTCAAGAATGCAGTTCTAACCGACCCCAAGACACTACAGCTTCGACACAGAACAGACAGCAAACTAGGACCGCATAGAGCTACAATGCTCTCCCACATAGAGCTCCGCGACTCCGGCCTCACTCAGCTCTCAGCTCTAGTGCTCCAAGCTCCGTCTCAACGTCTACGACACTGCTCAGCGTCACTAACCCGTACGCGATTAACCGACCCAGAGACCCTCTGCCTAAAATTATTTGCTAATCTTGCCAGTAAAATCCCACAGACTCAGACACATATTAACACATATCTCTCAGGCAGCTATCCAAACTCTCTTCTCCTTTCACCAATCAGCCCGGCAGATGTTGTGTCCATCATACACTCTCTAAAAACCAAGGCAGGGAACACCAGTGAAATTCCGTCCATTGTGTACAAGAGAGCCTCCCATGCTCTTGCCCCACCCATAGCACTACTGTTCAACAAATCTATAGAGTGTCACACCTTCCCTGATATCCTCAAAAAAGCAAGAGTAACGCCAGTCCATAAAGGAGGCAATCCGGCGGACATAAACAATTATAGACCAATATCAAATCTACCCATTCTATCAAAAATATTTGAAAAAATTATTTACAAACAGCTCTATTCCTACCTCGTAAAATTCGACATACTCAGCCCCTGCCAGTTTGGCTTCCGGTCCCAAAAGAGCACCAACGATGCAATCATTAGTCTCCTTGACGTTATCTACTCAGCCCTTGACAAAAATGAGTTTCCGATTGGACTCTTCATTGACCTAAGAAAAGCCTTTGATACTGTTAATCACAACTACCTCTTACTTAAACTCCAGCATTATGGAATCCGAGGCCTTGCCCTTGACTACATCCGATCCTATCTTAGTGACAGACACCAATATGTAACCATCAATGATACAACTTCTTCCACTCTACCAATTACCGTTGGAGTGCCACAGGGCAGCATCTTAGGACCTCTTCTATTTCTTATATATATAAGCGATCTGCCTAATGTCTCTAATATTCTCAAACCTATATTGTTTGCTGACGATACTACCCTTATCTATTCAAACCTCAACCCACATACACTAAATAATGTTGTGAATAATGAATTAAAAAAAGTCCACTTATGGATGTCAACGAACAAACTAACATTAAACATCGAAAAGACTTACTACATCTTATTTGGAAGCAAATCATCAAATGCAATTCAGCTACAGATAGACAACATTAACATCAGTAATAAAAATGATGGCAAGTTTCTTGGCCTATTCCTAGACAAGAGACTCAACTTCAGCACCCACATTCAACACATAACTAAGAAAGTCTCTAAGACAGACATAATGTTGATGATTTGGTAGTTGTGCATTGTTATGTCTCACATGGGTGAAAAAAATCTGTTCTCTGTCCTAAGTTGTGGCTTGTTGAACCTGAAATCGTTGTTCCTTGTTTGTGATCGATTGATGAAGATTAAACCACCCAAGAGGTGGCACGGGCATGAATAGCCCGTAAGTGAAAGATTTTTTTGCAGTGAATGTGTTCTTTGGTCATGATAGGATATATTGAGGTGGCACGGGCATGAATAGCCCGTAAGTGAAAGATTTTTTTGCAGTGAATGTGATCTTTGGTCATGAAAGGATATATTGATGATTGATTGATTGATAATGATTAAGCCACCCAAAAGGTGGCACGAGCAAGAATAGCCCATAAGTGGAGGCCCTTTGGAGCCATTACTCATGCGCTATGGAAAAAATGAAAATATAAAAACGGAAACCACGTACAAAACTCAGGCAAATCATAACATAGAACGAAAAGGCAATGTAAAGGATCTGGGTGTACTCATGTCGGAAGGTTGGATAACAAGAACTTTTCACACTAGAGATGCTATACCGATGATGATACTTTTCAAAACGCTTGTGCTCTCTAGAGTGGAGTACTGCTGCACAATGACAGCCCCTTTCAAAACTGGAGAAATTGCTGACCTGGAGAGCGTGCAGAGATCCTTTACTGCTAGAATCCACTCAGTAAAACATCTAAACTATTGGGACCGACTAAAGAGCCTAAATCTGTACTCCCTTGAGCGCAGGCGGGAGAGATACATAATAATTTACACGTGGAAAATATTAGAGGGGCTGGTCCCGAACCTGCACACAGAAATGACATCACATGAGACCAGAAGACATGGCAGGATGTGCAGAATATCCCCGTTGAAAAGCGGAGGTGCAACAGGTACTCTGAGAGAGAATATCAACATCAGAGGCCCGAGACTGTTCAACACGCTTCCGCTACACATAAGGGGCATAACTGGCAATCCCCTCACAGTGTTCAAGAGAGAACTGGATAAGCACCTCCAAAGGATACCTGATCAACCAGGCTGTTACTCATACGTCAGGCTGCGAGCAGCCGCGTCCAACAGCCTGGTTGATCAGTCCAGCAACCAGGAGGCCTGGTCGACAACCGGGCCGCGGGGACGCTAAGCCCCGGAAGCACCTCAAGGTAACCTCAAGGTAACCAGTATCAATAGTTGGTACTAGGGGTCTGGATGGATGGGGTCTTCATGGTCGCTCGCAGTTTATGGCCCGCAGGACGCTTAGTCGCCAGGTTGCAGTTTAATGTGCAAGGCAATGTGTTATACCTGAACAGAGCAACCTCGGTAGTTTGGTACAATCAGGATCGTCGTCCTTTTCGAGGAATTGCACTTCTCCGTTTGGGAATTTGCGGTGGAATTCTGGGTCGCGGTATTCTTTTTTCAGTATTGTGAGATCAGTGTAAGCGTTCATGGTGTGGCCGTGGACATATTTGGGGTGCGGGTCTTTGTTCTGGCTGATTATCTTGTTACATTGACCAGACCACACACTAGAAGGTGAAGGGACGAAGACGTTTCTGTCCGTCCTGGACCATTCTCAGACTGAAACGGACCGAAACGTTGTCGTCCCCTTCACCTTCTAGTGTGTGGTCTGGTCAACATAATTTAGCCACGTTATTGTGACTCATCGCCTGTATCTTGTTACATCTGTGGGCCAATTGTCGTCTGGTGTGGGCGTTGCCACTGAACTCGCTAGGCGGAATGAACAGCACATGGCAACTATTTTTGTTTTCGTCGTCGTCCTCGTCGTCGGTCGCAAGGCCGTTCTCGTCGACGTCGGTGGCGGCTCTGGAGAGCATCTTGGTGTTGGTTGTGGGAGTTTCGGGTGGCCCGTAGTGGTGTCTTCATTGGCAGGGGCAGCCAGTGTGGGCGGCGTCCCTGTTACCGGACTGGTTGTGGGTCCTGTTGTGGGGTCGGACGCCGGGCCGGCCGCAGGTGGAGGAGCTGGGAGAAAGTCGCCTGGTGACGAGGATTCGGACCTGTGTCCAAGAGCATTCCAGACGCTGCCTTAATCGACTGAGCTACGATATGGTCAAAAGAGTTGAAACCGAAGTTCTACTGAACTTAACATGTCGTAGCTCAGTCGATTAAGACCGTCTGGGATGCTCTTGGACGCAGGTTCGAATCCTCGTCACGGCCCTTGTGGATTTGTTCATTTGATGCATCACGTTATTGTGATTTCTGTGTGTACTACTAAGTAAATATGAAAACCCACTAAACACTATGTATCTAATCTACCCAACGACGTAACATAAACGTACGTTACATATCCCTATCTCATAATTTTTTAAGCACTCTTAGGTACTCACAGCAATTTAATTAATGTGCTGTACCCTATTCTGAGTTTACATATTTCTCCTGTGGCTTAGACAAAGACAGGAAGCCAGTGACATTTAAAGTATCTTTGCCGGAAACGCTATGCGTGCTAGTGGCTTTACATGAATGTTAATTCAACTTATTTTCTATATTCTCTGTTAACCCCCGATGTAACTTCTTGTATATAAATAAATAAATAAAAGTCGTCCAATTTTCCTGAAACCTTAAGGAATGGCGTCACAAGCTGTTCTCCAGAAACTTGAAGGAATGGTTCCGTCTCCGCTACAAGAACGTCATCATTGGCGACATGTAAACAAAGTTGTCTCAACCTTGGCCACTTCTTTGTTATACCTATTTTATCCTAACAACAGACCTCATGTGTCTTGTTTAACTTTAAATACTCTACTTTTAAATGGAGGTAATATATTTTGATTGTTTTAGATAGCAGAATATGTCTTCGTTAATAGTTATGTAATTTTGTGTTTTTTTAACTATTCTGAATGGGTGAGGTAATATACACAATAAAAATTATAATAATAATAATAATAATACGGACTAATAATACTTCACAAAATAGCACGGGGTATGTGTATTTAGCCACGAATTTAGCTAGCGAACCAAAAAAATGCTTATAATGCAAAATTTAAAATTCATTGCATCCAGGTCTCGCTTCCAGTAGATAAACGAAATGTATATGTAATGAAAAATATCCAATGTGTAGCCTAAAATCATAAACAGCAAACTTTATAACCCTGCAATGTCCTATGTTGAAAATTTTTATTGACAAAATGAAAATATCATTACCAAAATGATACCTTCATGGTTTACCTGAATTTACCTGAGGTACCACTTACTCTATCGGTGAAAGAGCACCTTCTGCTTTATGTGCTACATTGTAACTTGTTGAGCTTGGAACTGTTGCCTCTTGTGTGAATTACATTGTACCTTTTAAAGAAGTGGACTGGATTGATATCTTACGATTTGTTCAGTATTTTAAAGGTCTCGATGAAATTGCCATGTCTGGTTTGTTAGGAGCTCCTTTATAAAATATCCGGTCAAAAGTGCATGTAACACAGACGCAGCTATGAACTTTAATTTGACTGATCTAGGAGTATTAGGATGCAAGATAAGTGGCCTTATGCACTTGACATTACTTTTTGTAATTTGTCTGAGTACACATATTTAATTATAATGATGGCTGGTAACAGATCATGTCTCACACTGCAACTGCTATGTATGACAATATAATATCACTATTACACATTGAGTAATATTTTTATTTGTCAAAGACCACTCCTTATATTATCATTCATATTTTATACTAATGTATGTTAGGCATTATAAGGTTGAAAAGTTTGAATGCAAATCCAATAGTATAAAATAATTATATTCAGTTCAAATAATTATATTCAGTTCACATATTGTTCTCAACGCAACTGTATTTTCATGGGAATGTTTCTTTAGATAAGGGTCTCTGACTGATGTAATAATTGATGGGTATATCCTTAGTTAACTTCAGATAAGTGTGTTTACTTGGATCTAAACATACAAGGCCACTTACTGTGCATCATGATAATACTATGCCAGTAAAATTGAAATTTACAGCTGCAACTGTATTATATACATTTTTGAGCTGAAATTTACCTGAATTTACCTGAGAAAATACAGAACCTTTGATGTGCATTACAAATGTATATGAAACATATTGTCTAATGTAGTTTTGGGAAAATGGATACCAAATATGAATCAAGCAGTTCAAAAAATGTGTATTTATGTACAAAATGAACTATCTCCCATTTCAGTATCGGGTGGGAGAGACATTTAATTATAGATAACTTAAAGTTAGAGTAATTATATGAAATTTTTATGAAGGGCTCATAACTATGGTATACTTAATTGGATACAATGAATTGTGTAGCACCTCTTCTAGTTTTACAATAGAAGAGAGTTTAAAAAGAGTTCACCTTCTAGGTATACGCCTTGCGCTCCTGTTGGGTCATCAAGCTTTGTTCCTCTGGTTTTACTGCTCTTCCTGTTGGAGAGTTTAGCAAAGATCGTAATCCTGACCTTGCAGTAAGTTGATACTATATTTGTTTATTAATCTAATAACAACAAAAATTACTCTTAATGTATATTACAAATGTATATGAAACATATGTCTAATTATGTCTAAATTACACATAATGTCTAAGTAATGTTTAAGTTATGTCTAATGTGGTTTTGGGAAAATGGTTACCATGTATGAATCAAGCAGTTCAAAAAATATGTGTTTATGTACAAAATGAACTACTGTATCTCCCATTTCAGTATCAGGTGGGCAAGACATTTAACTATTTAGCAAGACAAGTACCTATTTACTGCTAGGTGAACAGGTGCTTCAGGGTAATAGTAACGCTGCCCATTTGTTTCTGCATTCGCCAGGGATCGAACTTGGACCCTTAGGACTACGAACCCCGAGCACTGTCCCCTCAGCATCAGGCCCCCTGTTGATGGGACCAACCCCCTTCTCCATTTCACTGAATACTGTATATCATTTAATACAAAACAGGATTCCTCTCCTAGAGTTTATATTTTGAAAATTCGGCTTGTATGCCCCCTTAATTAACCCTGTTATTCATATGCATACTGTACTTAAGTCATCTTTGAGGGTAATGTAAATTTAAGGTTCCTAGTCCTTGGGATTAACCTATTAATCCTTCTACATGTAATTTTAAGAAAATTTGCATCCATTCTAAAGTATGGTAATTGTAATTGCACAGCTTATCCAAGTGGAATCGCACATGGGTTCATGGGAATAGCCGTGTTTACCCATTTAACCAGTTTTCTCTTTCATTTTATCATTAACTGTATCTATCCTTGTTTACAAATATTCAGAGAGGCGATCCTCAACTTATGAATCAGATGCATTCTAACAAGGCAGTCGTAAGGTTGGCCATTTGTAATTTGGAACAAGATTTTCCAATGTTATAAATGAGGTATTTATTTACTGAACACCAAAAATCAACGTACAAAACCCACATTTCTGAGGCAAATAATATAAGAAATACTGTACTGATTTTTATTTACCTTGAATGATGGCGTTGCCGTGCTTATCTGTTTTCATGCTTTATGAAGAGGTCTAATTACCAAAGGAGGAGGCAACACAAGGTAATGATGCATGGGTACCAGTTCACCATCAACACATTCTTTTATTATCAGCTAATAATAACACTTTCATGTCCAGCCTCTCCATGCATTTTAGACTGTAAACGTTCTGGGCTCCCCTGGCAGCTTGTGGGCCACTCAACGATGTGAAATTGTTATTACAATCATTTAACATTTTCTAACTTATTTGTTGGATTATAATAATAAATATGGTGTTAAAATGTTCAGAAATGAATTGTCTGCAATTGTTTGCAATCGATGCAAAACCAAAGTTGTGGAATGTAAACCTAGCATCCTCGGCAGGTCCCACTTAGCAATTCTTAAAATGTTTATAATCAGTTAATGTTTTCTTTGTTATTTCTTGGATTATAACTATAAATTTTGTATCAGACGACTTCTCTAGAGAATACAGTAGATGGAAAAACAAAATAGAATTTATAATAGATTACATGTGACAGCGATGAATATGCAAATATTCATGAATAGCAATCGGATGACGCATTTTACCGTCAATGGAACGTTTACTGGAAATTGAAAGTGTTAAGGGACCCTTCCTCAATACACAGCTGAAATACAGTAGTGCATTAGTAGCACTGTTTGTATTGTGGAGACTTTTGAATTGGTTCTTATAGATGAACCAAGGCTAAAATAATGACTTGAGAGGTTGTTCATAATACAGTATCAGATTTTTTTTGGTGTTCATAAATTGGAGATCTCTTGATTCAAGATGACTCATAGGTATTATATGTTCCAGAATTTGACAGATGTCATCACTTGGGTAACATCTCTCCCTTTCTGTGGCTACAAAATTTAATTAAAAAGGGGTTACTTATTTAATCTTGAGATGATTTCGGGGCTTTTAGTGTCCCCGCGGTCCGGTCCTCGACCAGGCCTCCACCCCCAGGAAGCAGCCCGTGACAGCTGACTAACACCCAGGTACCTATTTTACTGCTAGGTAACAGGGGCATAGGGTGAAAGAAACTCTGCCCATTGTTTCTCGCCGGCACCTGGGATCGAACCCGGAACCACAGGATCATAAGTCCAGTGTGCTGTCCGCTCGGCCGACCGGCTCCCTACTTATAAAAAATATGATTAAGTAATACTTGTTAGTTTCTTGCTGAGGCTCATGCTGCTTATTCTTTTGTGATAAGCAGATAACAGAAATGGATGAACTAAGCTGCAGTATCAGCATAAATGAGAGAAGTGATGCGGAGAGAGAAGTATGGAGGAAGCAAGAAGTGGAAGGAGAAAGTACTCGAGAAGCTAATCCTGAAACCGTTAATGAAAGAGAGGTAAAGTACAGTACTTTAATATACTGTATATTATAAGATTCAAAAATATGTACACTAGCATTTATTTTTGTTATTTATTTATTTATTTATAAGTAGGTAATATGGGTTACAGTATTACAAATTTTGGTTGTAATATGATACATTCAAGCAAAGTCGCAAATATGCATATCAGTATTGGTACAGTACTATAAAATTAGTGATCATCCTGATTTTTTAAGGTCTGTCATTGAACTGTAGTGTCATTGTAGTATCATTACACATCAAATGGAGGTAAAAGGTTGGGGGTGAAAGGATGAACCAGACGCAGGGAATGTTAGTCCAGGTATTAAAGAGGGTATTGAAGATATTGAAGTGTCAAGATCACTGAATGAACTAGGAAAAGATGTTGAAGCACCAGTGCACTTAAACCAATCAGCCTGCCCTGTCACTTTTTTGCCTGGTGATATCACTTCAACACCTGCCCCTTCACTCTTCTGCTTAGTATCATCACTTCAACACCTGCCATCTCTCTCTTCTACCTAGCATCTTCTAATTTCTTTCATTAGTTTCATTACATTCAATGCTTCACCTTTAATTTCCTCTTGCAAAGGTGAAAATATATTGTACAGTACTATATTTTAGTAGTATACAGTAGAATACTATATTTTAGTATTAGAATGTGTTAATAAAAAATAATAATGGTGCTAGATGATAATAAGTTCATATATAATTTATGTGTACCGTAATTTATGAGATATTGATATTTTATGTATGTAATTTCAGACAGTTATGCCTGAGGAATATGTTTCGAGACAGTTGCCCAGCAGTGGCAGTGTAGAGAGTAGTGAAAGGGACTCTACACACAACAGAGGTAATATCAATACTAACAATGTCTGTAAGATGAAATTTTGAACCTAATCCTTTTACTCTTAATATTTCTGAGAATACTGCTCTCATGGATAAATCTTCCTGAATACCTTGAAGTCTCAATTAGTCAAACAAACTTCACTTGCATCACCAATGCTATAGAGCCCCTGCAGGGTCGTATAAGATGCATGTAAGCACTGGAGACAGAATTGATCTAGTTTCAATGAACAAAGAAACTCTGGTCTGGTCACAAACGTGGATATCATATTGCAGATTTCTAGTTAAATTTCACTCATGGCAGTTAATAAGAACTCTGAACAATTCTCGGCCAATTGCTACACCTCACTTGCCTTATCTCGCTACCACCAAGTGCCAGCTATAAGTGGCAATAAAAAAAGTGACACACTTTTCTTCTAAGTGATGGTCAGAAGCCTTTCACTAACAATCTTCCCCGAGTTACATAAGCCTGAAAGACTGAATGACTAGTAAATAGCACAATGTCTAGCTAACTGAAAAGACATTGGAACCTCGATTCAACAAACCTTGATTTGGTGGATCTCCAGTTGGGATGCACACTTTCCAAGCCAGAGTTACTCACCTGATTTATCGAACTCCTGTTCACCCTATTAGGCGAACAAGAGTTCAGTCTACCAGTAGATTGAAATGAAACTCAAGAGGCATAGTGCAATCAGTGCTTAGATTTGGAAAGCCACTGAGGGATCCTCTGCCAGAAAGAAAGACAAATTAATTGCAAGCTGGAAAGAGCATGTGTTATCTTACAAGAAATGCACTAAAAAAATGAATTAAAAAATTTAATTTTCAGCTACTTTTTAATAAAGTTTTAATAAAGCTTTTTAATAAAGCTTTTTTCAGCTTTATCCCCACTCTGTGGGGATAAAGCTGAAAAAAAGGGTGTTGCATCCAAATGGCTTAACTTTCCTTTGTTCCTCTTCCTTATTTTAGTATTTACACTAATGATGTCACTGTTGCCAAAAGCTGCTGCTGCTGCTGTTATGGTTATACAATTGCACATACAGTACTGCTGCTGTTACTTTATCACCATGGTAAATGTAGAGTTAATAATTAATAATAATAATAATAATTCATTGTCGGGGGACAGGCAGCTAGTTTATACATACAGTATATGTTAGGATTATATTGAGGTCCCCCCCATCCCTAGGGTTAAATTACTGACGCTCCCCAGGATGCAACCCCACTACAAGCTGACTAACTTATGGGGTACCTATTTACTGCTAGGTGCACAGGAGCATGAGGTGATAGGAAATGCACCGAACCATTTCTGTGTTGCGAGGGATTCGAACCTGGAATTATTTATTGTGAGTCGAGAATGAACCTGACTACTTCTGGGACCCTCCCAATTAAAGTTAAGAGTTAAAGTATCAAATCTCTAAGGAGAGCTTTCATAAGTTTAGCAGAGGGAATATAAGTGGATTATCCTCTACAGTATTAAATTTGAGAAAGTTTCCATCAGTTTTTGTTTTTTCTGATTTTATGTTTCAACTCTACATTGTTGTCAAACCTGTACACCACCTACTTGAGACCAGTTTTGGAATATGCTGCCCTGTCATGGAGCCTCATCTGAAAAAACACACAAGGAAACTCAAAAAGGTTCATAAGCTGCAACGAGGCTCATCCCAGAATTGCGAGGGATGGGGTACAAATAGGGTCTAAAGGAACTAAACCTATTGATGGTAGGAAAGAGGAAAGAGAGCGGGGCATTTAGCATCCAAAATGCTAAATCTGGGCCTACAGCTGTATCTTTAAGAAAATATAAGCAGCCATCCATCAAATGAAGGAGTGAGGGCTTGGAAATAATGATTTGGCATGTGAAAAGAACAAAGATGAATCAAGTTGAGGGTTTCATTTGCAGTAACAGACACAGAGCCTCCCACACCCACTTTTTCCCCTAAATAAGAAAGTAACATCAAGTCTTATATACAAAATATACAGTTTTTAAATTTGCTGCTTATTACTCATTTTTCTTTCAAAGATCCATGTTAAGCTCCTTATCTCATGTTTTGTCTAATAATTTTTATAATATTTGAACCTTTGTCTTTTTCTAGATCTAATACTTTTAATCCTAAATATTTATCTCCCTAATATTATATCAGCTGAAAAATTTCTACTGTACACTAGTTTTGTACTTCTCATTACATATTTGATTCCATTACTGTACTTTAAATTTGCTTATGAAACTACAGCAGAGATATTTTGCTTGATAATTTATTTACAAAGTTTTTCTTTTATCTCTATGGTTTCAGAGTTGTTGCAGCAAAATCTGAATAAAGGAAGCGGGTTTAGCAGTAGGAATGACTCATATGATATTAGACAAAATTCAAGTGGAAAACTGTACAAGTGTGAACAATGTGATTCTGTCTTTAATCAGAAGTCCAATTTAAAAAGACACCAAAAGTTGCATTCTGGGTATAAACCTTTTATCTGTAAAGAATGTGGGTTATCATTTTATGAACAAGTTTCCTTAAAGAAGCATAGCAGAACCCACACAGGAGAGAAGCCATACAAGTGTGAAGTGTGTAATACTTCATTTGCTCATAATGGGCACTTAAAAACTCATAAGAGAATTCATTCTGGTGAGAAGCCATTTGCTTGCCAAGAATGTGGACTGTCATTCTCACAAGCTGGAAATCTCAAAGTTCATATACGTGTACATACGGGGGAAAGACCCTACATTTGTAAAACGTGTGGAGCAGCTTTCTCTATCAGCAGTGTATATAAGAAACACATAATGGTCCATACAGGTGAACGTCCATTCAAGTGCTCCTTTTGTGATGCTCGATTTTCTAGTAACTCAAACTTATCAAGGCACAATAAAACTCATACTGGGGAAAAACCTTTTAAATGTCAAATTTGCAGTGCAGCATTTCCAGTAAAAAATTCTCTTGATCGCCACATGAAGTCCCATACAGGGGAACGGCCATATTGTTGTGAAATGTGTGGCACAGTTTTTGCAGATATGTCTGATTTAACAAAACATCGTAAGATACACACTGGGGAAAAACCTTTAAAGTGTGACATTTGTGGAATGGGATTCTTTTCAAAATCACAAATGAAAATCCATATCAGAACTCATACTGGAGAAAAGCCCCATAAATGTATTTTATGTGGTGTGTCATTTGCACAGATTGGTACACTTAATAAACATAAACGGACTCATACAGGGGAGAAACCTTTTAGATGTGATGAATGTGGATCTTTTTTTACTGCTAAAAGCAGTTTGAAGAAACATGTGGAAAGGCATGCCTATAATGCTTCACCACAACGCACAAATACATCTAACATCTCTGATTATCGAAATGTTGAATCTCATATTGCTCCCTTTTGTGATAATCAAAATAAGATTTTAAGTGACAGCAATGTTTGCAATCAGGAAACATTGCCACTTTCATCCAGATTATTAGGAGTTCCTTCACTAACATCATCTGTGGAAATTGATGGTGTATCCGTACCCTTAAACACAAATTCAAATACCGTAACTCCAAAGCGTACTTTACCATTAAGTAGCAATAACACCTTGTTAGTTACTTCTTCCTCGATACCAGAAGATCATTCTGCCTTAATATCAATGGATATAGGAAATTCAACTCAAATGTCTCAAAATGTAATAGCTGGAGGGAGATTTCCCGTTTATAATTCCTCATTACGTCCTGTTGATATCACCATACCTGAACCGACTTCAACATTACTCTGCAGTCCTGCTACATTTGAAGCAAGAAGCACTCCAGCCTTGTCATTCTCAGATTTACAGAATGAAACGGAGTTTTGCAATCTTGAAAGAAGCTCAACAAATATTAATTTGTCTGCTTCTACTACACTTCAGTCTCTGCCTACTGTTCCTGCAGAATCCTGTGTTCAATCTGCCCTCACAGCCAGTGCTGCAAGATTATCATCGGCTCAAAAGTGGTAAGAAGTGAAAGGGGCAGAAGAGGGGTCACAACAATGTGGCTGAAAAATGTTGACCAAACCACACAATAGAAAGTGAAGAGATGACGACGTTTCGGTCTGTCCTGGACCATTATCAAGTCACAATTGACTTGATAATGGTTCAGGACGGACCGAAACATCATCGTCTCTTTACTTTCTAGTGTGTGGTTTGGTCAATAAGTGAAAGCAGGTTTGGAATTAGAGGATAATGGCATGGATGTACTTAATAGAGCAATTTTAGTTAATAAAACATGCAGGTTGTTCAAACAGTACATAAATTTAAAACAATTATATTATTTCTAGTATATTTTATTAAATATACACAGCAGTTATCTGTTTAATCATGAATAAAACAGGATAAAGCAGTACCCACTTACCATGAATTACCCTGGCTTAATTACTTGTAATGTCAAGACTACATGCTTGCTGAAACCTTGTATAACTTTCAACATATATGCACCCTTTTTGCCACTTTTTTCCCCTTCATTGTTGCTGTTCGGTCTCCATTCACATGGGGCTTTCATTCCTTGGTTGTTTTTATGAGCAGCAACACATGCCAAATATTGATTCCTCTTATCATTCGGCGCTGGTGGAGCAATAAAACAAACGGTGCTGGTGGAGCAAACACTGCTGCTGTTTGTTCTGCCTTCTGCCTAGCAGTTGGGAACCATGTCGGCAAGATAGCTCCAGGAAGCCACTGGGGCTCACCAGCTGTTGGCCCTCTCGGGACGCAACGGGGTTCTTACCTGGTGTTGTTAGAGGAATGTATCCGACCCCAAGCCGGCTTTCAAGGGATGTGATCCGTGACGCAAGTAACTTAAAGGGGAAGGGAAATAAAGGATATTGCCACCAATAAATAATATATAAAATGATTGGGGTATTAACATGGTACACAAACGTCTTCTCCTGAAGACTCTGGATCCAAGCTCTTGGTGCTAAGTCCTCGGTGCTTTCGTGGCCTCACAACGAATCCTCTGAGAAGTTGAGCCTACCCTGGCCACAGGTCAGCCAAAACACAGGTCCACTGGGGGCACCGCCGTGGAGGCCGTCAACCACACGTCCAGCAGGTCTGCTGGCAGGTTCCGGATCAGCAAGGCTGGTCAGGCCACTCCACGAGCGATATAAGGGTAACGCCCTGGACAGGAGCCTCGTGTGATACCACAAATCACTCTCCTGTCCTCAATACCCCAGTGGATAATCGTCTCCAGCAGTCGGTCCCGGGTAATCCTTCTACTGCCACTCCACTGGCAGGGTAACACCACAGTGTTCTTCCAGGGGACGACTTCACAGCTGCTGCAGCAAAGCACAAGGTATGGAGACCGCTGCTTTGGGTAGACTGACTCAACTTCCCTTACAGCAGTCCCAGGTCGACTCTGTAAGTAGACACGTCATCAATAACAGGGACACTAAAACACCTCACTTACGGGCTCAGGCACAAACGCCCGACATATCCACTCCATAGTCTGTAGTCTGAGCACCACCTCACCAGAGGTCAGGAGCGGCTGTGTTGTGAGCTGCACAGGACTGGAAACTGGCCCTTGTGGCCAGTACACGTCATCCTCACCAGGTGTCGTCGTCCGTTTGGAGGGGGTTTCGGGAGCTGACCCACAGATGGCGCGGTTGTCACTGCTCCGTGCTCGGACGCTGGATCCGGGTTCGTAACACCAGCAAAGAGACATTTCATTACGCTCAATGCAGACTTTTTCTACAAATGATGTTTGTGCTGAATTTAGGCCCCAATTTAGTGATGCTGTTTTAACAAGCCAGTAATATTTATCATTTTTATTTTGCATTTCCTTCAGTTTTCAGCTAGGGGTCAAGGACTCAAACAGACCTCTGTATCTGTAAAGCCTAAACAATACACTGCTGTCTCAAGGTCATCCAGGGAGGAGGGGGGGGAAGGGAACTATGAGGGGAAAGTGCCAAGCCATTAGACTATAGCACTGGGAAGGGGTCAGGATAAGGATTTTGGATGGGACAGGGGGAAGGAATGGTGCCCAACCACTTGGATGGTCGGGGATTGAACGCTGACCTGCATGAAGCGAGACCGTTGCTCTACCGTTCAGGCAGGTGTTTAACTCAGCTGATGTACTGTGAGGCAAGACATGTGGCGGGAGGGGGAAAGGGAAAGCAAGAATGCAAGGCTTGTACTCGAGCATTTTTCCTTCACACAAATTTCTTCACAGGCATTTGTTATAAGGGTTTTGATGATTAAGTTTAATAGTCATCCTTAAATTTTATCCGAGGTGGTAATGGTGTGTCAACACTGAAAATTTTGATACCAGAAATTATACATTGTTAATATCAAATATTTCCAAGATCATTTAAGGGGCCATGAATAGACAAAATATTCAAATTATGTGAAAATTACTAATAAATGTTAAACAAATCTCCAACTTATTGCCTTCAGCGTCGTGAAAGTTTCATCCCAATATTTTCAGAAATTGATTTTAGATGAATTTTTTAAAAAGAAGAACATTTTGTTGATAAGGAGAACAGCTCCTATTAACTGGAACTGATGGATAATGCAGTAATAAAGAGATACAAGCACCTCTCCAACACACAAAGACGAAAAATAGTAGTACGAAGTGTCCACAAAGTGGATATGCAGCTGGTGCCTTTATAGCATTGCTGAATAATACATAATAAAGCAAATAATAATGAGTATGTTATTATGCTCTATTTTGTTATACTGTATATCATTCAAATACATTGCCCGATGTTATTATCTGTTACTTTCACCACTGTCCACAATTTTTTTTTTTAGAAGAGATTTTTTTTTATCATTTTTTTTCTTCTTTGTTTATTATCTGATTTTGTTGTAATCTTTACATCCTGTAGAGTGCACACCTGTCCTAAACTATGTAAAGATAGAATGTAATTGGTCAACAAATAAATCAGCTTCAATTGGTTTTTTCTACAGTTACAGCCTATTTTCAGATTTCAAACTCTATTTTCTGTCTCTTTAGGGTGTTTTGATTATTAAGAACCAGATTAGGGCTTTATCACTTATATAAGTATACATATATATCCCCTAAATCATTATAATTATCCCTATATTTTGTTTTTTTGGGGGGGTTATTTTTTCTTGACTTCATTTCAACACATATTGACCTAAAACTTTCACATATTCGAGTACGAATGCCAAACAATGTTTATTAAAACATACAAGTAAATTAATGAATTAGAACTACAGTATTCATTGTCGATAACTTCAAGTTCAATTATCTCTAAAACTAGAGTTTCAACTTTGAGTCGGCACTAAAAATCCAGTTTGACCGATTCTCGCCATTTTCACATATAGTAGGCACAGCTGTCTGTTCTACAATCCTATTTGATTATTTTTTCATAAACCTTGAATGTTGGGAGTTTTTAATTTTTGGGTCAAAATTTGGCGCATATTTCAAATGCCTTATTGACAATTTTTTATACAGTAAACTATACTGAATCCTTTAATAATAACAAATAAAAATGAAGCTCATATGCTCTTCTGAGAGCATAATAACACCAAATGAACAATTTGTGATACTGAATATTTTTTATGCTCATTTGAAAATCTGAAATTTTCAAGTTATTTATATAATTATTTTTAATTTTCTTGTTTTTCAAGTTACGTTTGTGATTATTTAGACAAAGTTGGAGCACGTGCCAAGTAGATTAAGTACAAAAAATTTGAAAGCGTTTGAATAAGGTGCAACATTTAATTTCCCAGCCCCTTAAAACATGTAAAGAGCTTTGTGTAGGCAGCGTGTGTCTTGCTTTCCGACCGTCCCTCGCGGTCACTTGTCCCTCGATAGAATTCTAGGTGAATCGGATACTTTTGATATCGTTCGCCTTATGCATTTTTGTTCTCGTATTGGCATTCTTGGTGATATTTAGCGCCCTCTGATTATTTCGCACTTTGATGGTGCTACATAGCCTTCCCGGTTTGGTGCCTTCTTTTGATAATTACCTTACCTTTGTGTAGGCAAAGGTAACAATGGCCAACAGCTTACTAGGAACACGAGAGAAATGCTCATAATCTAAGATGCTAAATTTCCTCTGAATACAACAATTCTGAATGTGAATTGGTGGTGTAGGAAGAATGTAACTTAAGAACTGGCTTTCAGTTTTGCAGACATAAAATGGTATGGGGTATAAGTAGTTATCAGAACTAAAGTGTAAATTTAATAGTCATCATTCCAGGAATACCCTAGTTCCTATGTACAGCATTATCATAATAAACATTATTTTTTTATTATTTATAGTTTCACTTAATATTTTTGTACAATACCAAAATAATTGTTTTCTTGAGCTTTAATAAATGTGTTACACAGTACAGTACTGTACTGTATATATTTTTCATAATATCAGTATTGTACTTATTAAAGTTGTACAAATTGTACAAACATCATTGGGTCAATTACGAGTGGTGGTTTAAAATCTGTACTGTAATTTTATCTATTTTGTTCATGTGAGTTTTACAAAATAGAGGAAAATCATATTCTGCAACAATACTTATATTGCTTCATACACTGAGTAGCAATGTGTCACTGAATCTCATTGCATAAAAAATAAATGTCTTTATTTTCACATTTTTATATACAGTATATATGTGTTTGCTGAGAGAGCAGTACACAACAGAACACCAGGAACAGTTGGGCACATCACCTACTAGTCGCCTGTACTCAATGGAAATTCACACCTCGGCAAGACACTAACCCAAGGCCAGGTCAACTCGGGTCAACAGTGAAGGTGGTCACAAGGTTGTCGGTTACAATTATGCCATGCTAATCCATAAGGAATTATTATTTTCACATCAGAAAAGGCAGAGGATCTCACGTGCTCCGTTCAGCTGTATATAAGATCACGTGCAGACACAGGATAGACAAGAGGATCTCACATGCTCCGTTCAGCTGTATATAAGATCACGTGCACACAGGGGAGACACGAGAGTGAGGCCTGTCTGGTTACGGGTGTTGGGGTCTGATCAAGATTCTGGAGAACAAACATTGAGCACCTCAAAGTCGAGCGGAATTCACTGTGGTAGTAAGTACGGCTCTCTTATACCCATCACCTTATTTTTTAATTTCCTTTTGCCTCGGTTGGGGAAACAGTTAGGAATTGTCTTTCTGAAGTGATAATGTAATGTTCTCAAATTGTCATCCCCTTGTGTATTAATGGTACCTGCCAACATGATACTGGGCTTACCATTCTCTTTGCCCTAGTGCTCTTAATTGTCCAGTATCCCTATTAAGGTGTGTCAATACTATTGTCCATAAGTGCTTTCGTTATTTTATATACTGTAGTACACAAGTCGTTTCAGGATTATTTGAGTGTCAGGCCAGGATCCTTTTACCATTTATTCTTTGCCACACCTGCCCTGGTAGGATATTAACATTCTACACGTTCTCACATCTCTCCCTGGTCCCCTATCCAGTAATTGAGGGTGGTGGTGGCATTAATTGGGTAGTCATACATGGACAGTAGCAGCTAATACTTCTCCCTCTCTCTTCCCCACTTTTTCCTTATCTACTCTCTCCTCCAGTTGTCTACGCAGAACTCAGTTCATTTTGAGTGATTATTTGGTTTGGTTATATGTATTACAATATACTAGTGATATTACAATACCAGTTATTACAAAGATGGCATAGTATTACAACCCTTGGGACGGGGGGCTTGTATGTGTAATTAAAGGTGTAGTTACAAGATGAGCGCTACACTCGGTGTCCTATCTTCCCAACACTGTCATATGACAAATAGCAAGTATTACCATTATCAGTACTGCATTGACAATCATGTTCTAGTAGTGAGCATTAAAGAACTCACTTATATCTTATGAAAAATAAAGGGTGCCAGTACATGCAGACATTTAATACTGACTAAATTGAGTACATGTGTTGATGCTGAACATTTAATTGTTATCAGTGATATACCTCTACGTGCAACCCGTCCTCGACTCAAGTCCATCACATCCATCAGTCGACCCCACAGACGCATTCATAAATTTTAACATGCTGTTCATTCAAAATGGTGTTTAGGTTCTGTTGGCGATTATTTGTATTCGTAGTACGTGTGCGAAGCATTTACAGCATTGTTGTTCGAACAAAATTCGCCGGTGAAGCACTTGTTCTGAAAGTTTAAGAACGAAATCAGTTGCGAGTCGTGTGTAGACCATTTTTCATTCATAAACAGGGGGTTTGGCAGGTGCATAGAATCACTTTTGGGTCTTTGTTTGGAGGACGGGCTGCTACGTAATTTACGCAAATATCTAAAAGTCTAATAGAATGGCCACATCACAGACGACACTACACAAGGTTCACATTTGCCCAATCCATGTGGCTAGGTCAATAGATAACATTAAGGTACCCAAATGTTAAAAATAAAACATATCAGCTTGATACTTTTATTTAACTCCAATTAATTATTCTCAGTTGGAGAAGTGAATGAAATAAACAGTAGCCTCTTCCACACAAAAACAATAGTCACTGTCAGATTGCAAAAACAGCACTGGGAATTGACTGCCTTTTTAAGTTGACAAGCTTTAAAATGAGACTTACAACCAAAGGTATACCATCTTTATACATTGAAGAAAAGTTGAACTTTTATTGATGCATGAGAAGCACCTCCTAATATAATTGTATATACAGTACATACAGTATTATGATACAAAATATTCTTTGAGTTCAGGATCTGTAGGTTTGAGAATAACCTTGTCCTTCAAACTGACAACCCATCCTGGTTCCAAACCATAAAATATTTGACGGGGATCCTTTCGTTCCAGCAGAATATCTTTATTTGGTGATGCATTAACATCCGGCAACTCGTAACCATATTTCTGAGGTAAAGAAAAAGCATTTAAATATTATTGGCTGAAAGGTAATCAAGATTGTATTAAAAATTCACACGTACTATATTCTTAATATTTTTTAAGGATGTTCGCACTCATAAGTTTTCAAGACATTTTAAATATTTTTCAGCACTAAAGACTCTTATACAGTTATCAAGAGACTGAGACTGGTTTGTAAAACATATGGAATGTTAAAGGCAGTGGGGACATAAACGATCAGTAAACAGCGCTAACATATGATGTCAGCTGACACAGCAAAATGCCTGCAGTATACCATGCACATCACTAAATCGAGCCACAACACTGCTATAATCAGATACCTGTCACTAAAATCATGAATATGAATAATTTTCTACAAGTTTATTTTCAAGTTAGTGAACACACATTGAATACTTATCCAGTCTGGATTGACACTTCCTCCAGTCTATGTAGCCATGTGTCTTCCTTTACTCACTTAGCCGTACTTGCGGGGGTTGAGCTCTGGCTCTTTGGTCCTACCTGTCATCCTGTACTTTAACCCCAGTGCTAAATCCTGTGCTTTAACCCCAGTAACGGTACTCTAATCTGCACTGATTATAACTTTAAGATCAACAAAATAATCTCAAATAGTATTTGACAAAACTACATACAGTATCTCTACTGGGGATACGAAAGTTAGAATTAAATTACTGAGTATAGAAAGCGAGTATAAATTGTATCAAACCTAGTACTGTAATATACCTCAAATCATCTCTAGCATTGTGATGTGTGGTTAATGACTGCATGCAAGATCCCAATAATGTAACTACGCTTTTAAATTACCAACCGCAGTATACCTTAGAATGTGACACAAGGTAATTAAAACTATTATATAAATTCACTAACCATTTACACTATACACTATAGTGGTTTGCAACCTACTGATATCATTAATCTTATTATCTACAGTACAGTTTAACCCTATTGACATAACTCCTCTCATCACTTGATATTATTGTAATTACATTATATGCAGAAGTGCATATTGGTACATTAAATTTAATGTAATGGAAAGTATAAAATGCAAATCATATTGACCAGACCACACACTAGAAGGTGAAGGGGGGACGACGACGTTTCGATCCGTCCTGGACAATTCTCAAGTCGATTCTCTCACAATAGACTTGAGAATGGTCCAGGATGGACCAAAACGTCGTCGTCCCTTCACCTTCTAGTGTGTGGTCTGGTCAACATACTTCAGCCACGTTATTGTGACTCATCGTCTGCATGCAAATCATACTTTATACTATGTATCCTATAATTCAACATGGAATTTAAGCAGAGGTTATCCTTCACAATCACAGAAATGTTTATGATTCTTACCTGTGCCAGAAGAAACCTTTCCTTGGCTATCTCAGCTGGGTCAGCTAGATATCCTCGATTTTGGGGATCAGAGTAGTAATCTATCAGATGTTGAGGAGGAAGCATGCGGCGCGGTATGGCGACACCTGATAAGATCACGGCCATTAATAGTTTGGTAAACATTATTGCTCTATATTTTTAGTTGTTACTCAACTTTGGAGATATTTTAAGCAAGTTAAATGACAAGATACTTAAATCCCAACTTACAAAATGCAATGAACTTTGAACAAACACTTAAAGTAATGAAGGTAAAGGTGCCTCTAAATTCTCTCTCACTCACACATCCTACTGACAGGATATATACAAACCTCTCTTAAAGAATTCCACTGGTTTAATGGCAGCTGCGAGAGTAAGTGGATCATAGTAAGCTGTGGTTATGACCCCTCCATTACGTTCCACTGATGCTATCACTGCTTCACTTGCCCATTGTACTTCTATATTTAATGTGGCTTTAAAATGGTCAATCCCCTGCAAAATACATGCAAGATAGTGTCTTTAATGCTATACACAATACAAGGTGTACTGAATTTGTGATTATAAACAAGGTTATTTAGCACCTACAGTAAGCAACACAAAAATTAAGTATTTTAATAGGAAGAGAAATGATGTGACAACCAAGAATTTGATCATAAAAATTCAGTGAAGACGATACTGTACCTCATCTTCCAGCATGAAGCCTCCCTCCCTCTCTAGTGGACGGACTGTGAATAACCCGGTGGCCACAAGTTGCGTCACATCAACTGGTATGTCACCGCGTAAGCGATTAGTGTCAATCAACCTCTGTAGCCTTCCCATGCAGAGTGGTACATAAGACAACTTCAGACTAATCAAAAGAAAGATTAGAAAGATTAGAAAACTAATCTAATTACAGAAACAGTGCTAATGCCAACACCACACTCCTTAGGTGGGACTCCATACTCCCCAGAATGATTAACTTTCTACATCAATTTGACAATTTTAACATTAACATTCCTTTTCCCCCGCCTATCTGGTCTAACCAAACTTCTCTTGCTGACAGCCCACAGCAGCAGCAGTAGTCTGGCTAGACCAGATACGAGGAGGAAAATATACCCAGTATATTAACATGATCGAAGGCTAAAGTGATGCTGGAAAGCAAGCAAAGCTATTTCCTCTTCATGAGATACCCGCTGGATACACACCATACCGTGTTTACTGTTGGATAAAATAATGTTGGGTAAACAAATCACTCGGCCGACTTTTAGGTTACCGCACTGTGAAGCAACAGTGCAACGGTAACTGTGAAGCTGAGAATTTATGTAAATTACAGTAGTGATATACATAGCTACTATTATGTACTGCAATTCAAGAATAACACATCAACTTACTGGTGTCCTTTGTAGTAATTTTGAACTGGGAAGCGTAAATAAAATGGATTGTTTCCAGTCTCGTAGCCAAGCCGCAAAAAATTTTGCCTTTGCCCAGAACCTTTGCAGCCAGCTCCGTGGGTCTTGCCACCATATATGCCCCGTCCTCGACTTTTCTGCAGTGAAAGTAATTAGATGGGGGTTGAATGAAGTTTATTCACAAATTACATAAGGTTTCAGAGATCTAAGAAAACATTCAGAATTTATCCATTCATATCAATCTAGCACCTCTATCCATTTATAATAAATAAGTTTACGTTAAAGAAGATTGTATAACACTTATCACTGATGTAAATTCTCTCTCCCAGCTTGGAATAATTAGATAATTATTACATGCAGTATTAATTAATTGGGCTGTTGTCAATTTATTAGGATTGGGGCAAAAGGCGGATTAAAAATTTCCATTTCCTGCACCTTTCAATAAAACAATGGCAAAAATATCACCACAGTAACTGCGTGTATTTTGCAAAATATACAATATAGTACTGTATGTTGATATGGTTAATATCCACAAATCAACACTTGGGCAAAACGTTTTTTACCAATATTTTCAACAAGCAGTTACATCTCTCACGAGAGTCGTAAGGAAAATATTACCCATGTTATGATCAAAACCTAATGTTCAAAAGAACAAACTTTGGTTTTCCGTCCTTTCAGCAATCCCTAATGCTCATGTGAACAGGATAACAGCAGCATATCTTGAGATGATTTTGGGGCTTTTTTTTAGTGTCCCCGCGGCCCGGTCCTCGACCAGGCCTCCACCCCCAGGAAGCAGCCCGTGACTGCTGACTAACACCCAGGTACCTATTTTACTGCTAGGTAACAGGGGCATAGGGTCAAAGAAACTCTGCCCATTGTTTCTCGCCGGCACCCGGGATCGAACCCAGGACCACAGGATCACAAGTCCAGCGTGCTGTCCGCTCGGATGGGAAGTTATCAAACATAAGAACATCAGATATGAATCTAAAAGTTTTGTAGTCCATATACACAGCCTTTGTGAGACCATTGAGTATGCAACACCAGCATGGAACCCACACCTTGTGAGACATAAACATAAACTTGAGAAACTTTAGAGGCGAGGCAGGAAGGAATGGTGCCCAACCACTTGGACAGTCGGGGATTGAACCCCGACCTGCATGAAGCGAGACCGGCGCTCTACCGTCCAGCCCAAGTGTTTGGGAGATAGATAGCCAAGGGGTAGATAGCGATTTTTAACCAAAATTAAAGCTAGATTAAGCTAGATGTGAAGGGAAGGGAACTATCAGGGGAACCCTCAGTCCCACCCCAAATCCTTATCCTGACCCTTTCCCAGTGCTATATAGTCGTAATGGCTTGGCGCTTCACCCTTAAAATTCCCTTCCCTTCTGCCCACCACAGTGCCATGGTCGAACCAAAAATTACATTGGGACAGAAATGGTTGGGTAATTTTCCTTGCACCTAATGCCACTATTCACCTAGCAGTAAATACGTATCTTAGGGAAGGGAAGTAGCTCGACCTTGGCGGGTCTTCGATACAAGTCTATATATTTATATATATTTATAGATATATATATATACTTAAATTTACATATATATACTTTAATAATAAATATATACAGGCTCCCTGACAAAACAAATTTAGTTATGTTAAAAAAATATGGCAACTTCGTCCATATCGACATCAAAATGAGCTTCAACGACAAATACCTGTTTATGAGCACCAGGATTTGGTTTTAAATTGCCGAGGGAGACCCGTGGTAGCCGCCTGAGGAGCGAAAGAGCCTTGTCAGTGCCGGCGGCGGCGGCCATCTTGCCTGCCTCACTCCCAGGGTTCCCACACCTCGACCCTTCTTGGATCATAACAATAATAATAATACAAATAATAATAATAATAATAATAATAATAATGACTTCTATTATGTCTTCTCATAGACATAATAACATAGAATAAAAAAAAACACTTTTCTATATGTGGTGTAAATATGAGGAATAAATTCCTCATATAAATTTCCACATATACACAAGTCTGGGTTTTTATCCATAATAATAATAATAATAATATATAATAATAATAATAATAATAATAATAATAATAATAATAATAATAATAATAATAATAATAATAATAATAATAATAATAATAATAATAGTAATAATATTAATATTGTCTTCTCACAGACATAATAACATATAATCAATAATACCACACTTGCCTATATGTGGTGTAAATTTGAAGTATAAATTCCTTACATAAATTTCACATATACACAAGTGTGTGGGATTTTTATCCAAAATAATAATACTGTGATAATAATAATAATAATACTTTCTTTAGGTCAAAGTACATACAAAATGAGTTACAAGCAGAAGGTTGGAGTTCTAGATAAGAGCTAGTATATACTCGAACTTAAAGCCACTAATAAACATAGCATTTTGGGCAATATGTATTTATTGAATGATTGATTGATTTTATTTATATACAGGAAGTAACATTGGGTTCTGAGAGAGCATAACATTGGTGTTCTTACATTCTTGCAAAGTTACTAACACGCATAGCTATATATGTGGACTTTCAAATTTGCTGAAATATATAAACAAATATAAGGTGTCAAAAAAACATAAAGAGGTATTTAGTCCCAAAACGGCTACATGTATTTTAGTGGCTTTGCAAGAATGTAAACAATACCAATTTGATGTAATCTCGTAAACCCATTGTACCTTCTTGAAAATAAAATAAATATTAGGGAGGTAGTCCCTCCATCACCAACAACAACACCACCACCAGCTGGAGGCTGCACGTGGCCGCCTCCCTCCTGTTTACCTCCACTCTTAACTCCCTCCTCCACTCCTCCACATTACATCAACATGGAGTATATCCCTCCAGTACCAGCAACTGTTGGAGTAATGTAAGTTAATGGGCAGTTAAGCTATGAGTATAGGTCAACTCATCTGGAGAAAGCCTTGCTGACATTTTGTTTCTCTTAACATTATTATTTTTTTTTTTGAGGGGGGAGGCCTCTGTAGTTGGGCAGGCACTTGACTTTAGGGATTTTAAAGTGGTGTGTTTTAATTATTAACTTCTTGCTTTAATTCAATACCAAAACATCACAAAAAGTGGACTTTTTAACCTGACCATCTCAGATTTTCATAAAATTTGGTAGGAGGGTAAAGGATATGAAGTAACTTTAACATTCAAAATTTTAGCACTTGATGATGTACAGATGATGATGATGTATTTCACACACCAGGGTTGGCAATGTGAAAAAATACAATTCTTGTTTACAAGTTCCACAAAAAAATTCATAACTGCTTCTAAGGTTGAACCTTCGTTTTGTGTTTTTTTTTTTAAGCAAAGGAAGCATTGTTCTCATTAATATACAGTACTGCACAGGGTATTTTATGTAGTAATAATATTAATAATGAGGGTTATATTTTTTATTGTACATTTCACGTATAAAATCATTAATTGAGCTTCATCCTCCTTCCTCACAATGTAAAATGCTGGTGAATAAGAAAGTTGTAAATAATTAGTCATAAAACTAATTCATAGTTTTTCTTTAGCCTATGCTGTGATTGTGGTGCCCAGATACAACCAAATCCCACAAATCGATGTATTGCCTGCATAAGAGCCCGCAATGATATTTCTGAAGGAATTCCGAAACAAGGCAATCTCTATTTCTGTCGTGGATGTGAAAGATATTTGGACCCTCCTGCTGCATGGATATCAGCTTCCCTCGAGTCAAAAGAATTGTTGAGAGTGTGTTTGAAGAAGATCAAGGGACTCAACAAAGTGCGGCTAGTTGATGCTGGCTTTGTATGGACCGAAGCTCATTCTAAAAGGATCAAGGTAGCACATGTTTAATTTTTTTTTTTTTTTTGTAACCACTTAAAGTTTGTGTAAACTTAAATATAATTCAGTGCTGTATAAGAAAATTAGTTTATTGGTGAATTATTTTTTTTAAAGCTTTTATAAGACAGAAAATTAGTCAGGCTTTAGAGATATTAAAGAATAGGTCTTTGATCAAAACTGGTAACGTAGAAATTATGCTTCGCTTTATATATTTTTATTTTAATATATTTTTAGAATGGTGTGTGTATAAAATTCATTGACCTTCAGGAATGCTTATATTTACACATATTTGTATTTGAATAAAATCACAACTATACTTACAGTCAATTATTACATAAGACTTATTCTTTGGATAAACTTAAATTATCAATAAACAAGAAATAATCTTTGGGGCTGCAACCATGCCTGTAGGAGAAGAAAGTAATTGTGTGAACTTAGGCCAGGTGAAGTTCACCAACCCCTCCAAATCTAGGCCCAAAAGGGCAAACTCCAGGGCATCCAAACAAGAAGCGTACTGTACCTCAAACTCTGAAAAAACTCACGGCTCCATAAGAGCTGTGAGAGAGCTCCATGTGTAATTACCTAAGTGTAGTTACAGGATGAGAGCTATGCTCGTGGTGTCCCTTCTTCCCAGCACTCTTATCACACACACATCACACACACACTCACCCAGTGTGTGTGTGTGTGTGTAATTACCTAAGTGTAGTTACAGGATGGGAGTTATGCTAATGGTGTCCTGTCTTCCCAGTACTTTTTATCATATAACACTTTGAAACTACTGTAATGACTGTTTTGGCTTCCACCACCTTCTCACTTGTTCCAACCATCTACCACTCGGCAAAAGAAAACTTTCTATTATTTTTTCGGCACCTCTGTTTCCTTAGATTGAATCAGTGTTCTTGAAGTTCCTGGTTTCAGGAATTCCTCTTTGTGAATTTGACCGATTCCTTTTATTATTTTGTAAGTGGTGTTTATATCGCCTCTCTTTTTTTCATCTATTTTCTAGCTTTGGCATATTTAACGTCTCTAGTTTCTCCTCGTAACTCTTGATTTTCAGTTTTGGAAGCCATTTTGTAGCATGCCTTTTCCAGTTTATTGATGTGCTTCTTGAGATATGGGCACCATACAGCTGCTGCATATTCATATTTTGGTCTCACAAAAGTCATGAACAGTTTCTTTAGTATTTCACCACCCGTGTAGTTAAAAGCAAGTCCGATGTTGGAAAGCGACGCATATGCTTCTCGCACAATATTCTTTGTGTTCCTCTACAGACAGTTTACTATCCAAAATCATCCCTATTTTCTCCAATTCCACATTCCGTGTGTAGACCTCAAGCTTATCAAAGGTTTTATTTTATTTTTTATTTTGTATGTGCAATATATGAATTGATAAATATATTTTTTAATTAAGAAATTAGTTAAAGGTAAGGTTGTATTTTTTGAGTTTGAGAATAACGTGCACATGTGCAATTCTCAGGTGAAGCTTGCCGTGCAGAAGGAGATCCAGGCTGGGGCAGTACTCCAGCAGGAATTTATCGTCGAGTTTGTTGTGGTGGGTCAGATGTGCGATGATTGTCACAGAGTGGAAGCCAAGGATTTCTGGCGATCAGTTGTACAGGTTTGTAATGTATTGCTAATTATTATTGTGGTTCTAAATTGCTAGCCAAGTCTATATATAATAACAGTGAGACTAGTAATAGTTTGGTTTTGTGAAATACTGTACACCATTTTATCCAAGTTGGTTGGTTAAACCAATATTGTTTTAAACTGTATGCATCTTCCATTATTTTCTTCAGAGTAAATTTTTTAAAATTATTGGTACACTTGACCAAATTGTTGTTATAAGTATTATAATTTTAGGAGGATGGGCTGGATATAGACAAAGATAAAAGTCACAGTTTTGAGTCATCCTTTGTAGATAATACAAAAATCAGCATGAAAATTACTTTTGTGGGAGACGGTGAAAAGGAGCACATCAGTCAAGAAAGAGAAGATTGGTAACATTGGGAATAAAATAGACATAGGGCAGTCAAAAGAAAGGAAAATCTTAACATAGCTTGATCATATGTCCGAGTAAATCACCCAAGAATTGGCACAGTTATCAAAGACAAGGCTGTGATTTTAGGACATACGATGAGTGAGGCGGGTGGGTGGGGGGGAGATTGTTAACAGATATAGTTGTATGTAATTTCATTGGAGATGGTTTAGGGCTGCTTTTAATTATATAACTTTTTAGGTGCGACAGAAGATAGACCACAAGCGGACGTTCTACTACCTAGAACAGTTGATGCTGAAGCACAGAGCTCATGAGAAGACTTTAGGCATCAAAGCAGTTCATGGTGAGATGATGTGAACATTCCATATCTGTTAACTTATAAAGATGGAGAGTCATATATTGATTTTTCCTTTATTTTGGTTTCTTCAACATTATATATTGCTCTCGTGCATATACAGTGCATTAAACCTTCAGGTTGCACTGGGGATAGGTTCTGGCAAAATACCGGTAGTAGTAGTAGTAGGCATACATCAGTCTCAGGAGACTATGGAGTTGCGCTCTGGTTGTCGGTCTGGAGTGGCCTCAACGGTACTGCCTAAATTATTCTTAACATTTTAGGAGAATGAAGAAAAGGCTCAGGAGGAGATTGACCGGATAATTGAGTGTGCGGTGAAGCGGAGATTGAGTTTCAACAATGTACGAGAAGGGGTATGGAATAATCTGTGATAGAATCAGTTTAACACTGTTGCTGTCACATGTTGCAGCCCCCATTATTTCCTTGAATCAAAATTTGGTTAAAGCTAATGTTAATTGCTTTTTTGACTCAAAAACTATCTAGTAAGAAAGAGACAATTAAAAAATCATGGAAAAAATTATAATCCATTTTGTAATAGAAAATATGCTATAAGTAATTTAATGTTTATGTTATAAATACAGCCACTAATTTTAATAGCCAAAGGATATTTTGTTCTAGAATTATTACGTTTCTAATCGGAAAAAGAAGGGCTCATTCTGTATGACAGAGCATAATGAAAAATAACTTAATGTTTTTTAAAAGTTTAAACAAAAAGTATATAAAAATAATTATCATTATTTGTCATGAAAAAATAGCAAGTTACTAATTGTACTCACCTAGTTGTGTTTGCGGTGGTTGAGTTTTGGCTCTTTGATCCTGCTTGATACAGTATTGTAGTACTGTATCAGGCCATAATTGTTCCAAGTGCAGTACTGTATTATTCTACATATAAGCAATAAGCATACTAACTAAAACTTAATTATGCCCACCACTGTGCTCTCCACCACAGTAGCTCCCCGGAGCTTACACCACTTGCACCACGTGTCCGTTCTCTAGCACCAGGTACCCGAGTCTGTATCAGCCCACTGGGAGTCATCACCCGAATTGGCACCCCTTCCCCAACCCCCCTCCTCCCTTAACGGTGATAGGAGTATGTGGAGACTAGCGATCAACCTTACAACTGATGTGAAAGACTTAAACAATCCAACCGATAGTTTGAACAGGCAAAAGATACTGCACCAACTTCTAGATCACCAGCCCCAACCGTTTGAGCTGGATGGTATAACAACGGTCTTGCTTCATACAGGTCGGCGTTCAATCCCCGACCGTCCAAGTGGTTGGGTACCATTCCTTCCCCCCCCCCGCCCCCGCTCCTCGTCCCATCCCAAATCCTTATCCTGACCCCTTTCAAGTTCTATAGTCATAATGACTTAGCATTTTTCCCTGATAATTCTCTTCCCTTCTAGATCACCATTAGGCGACAGTCTAGATTTCCAAGGGTTCAGCCAGCCACTCTCATTCACTGTCTCGCCTGATGTCATTGTCCTTGGTGTTCAAATCTGCTTGAAATAGGAAATTTCAATTACAAAACCATTCTGAATCATGAGTTGATTGTGCTGAATAATAGCACCGCTTCCGCATACTCCTTGCCCAGCCTTACCCCCATTCAACTGATAACCCATTCAAATAAAGTTTAAAATTGATTTAGTAATTCACTATATTATTATCATCATTGTTAGTTGGCCTTCATTATTTGTTCAGTTTTTATATATCACATAAGCCAATATTGGAGAATCATATTAACTTTTGCCGAGTTACTTAACATTCAATATTTTTTTTTTTCAGAGGGCCTAGATTTCTTCTATACCAATGAGCAGGGTGCAAGACATTTGGTAGACTTCCTTATGTCAGTTGTTCCCTGTCGTTGGACACAGTCGAAGAAACTTATCTCTCATGATATTCACTCTAACTCCTACAATTATAAGTTTACCTTCAGGTAAGTAATAACATAATTACTGTACGTTTTATTGCCTAATATCACATATGATTTCATCTAGGTACTCGGCTAATGTAATTTTAACTTTGATATACAGTGGCATCTCCAGAATCCAGACCTCTGTATACTGGATCGCTTTACATTTTCAGTAACAGGGTTGTTGATTTGTGGAACCAATTACCGCGTAACGTGGTGGAGGTGGGGTCCCCTTGATTGTTTCAAGCGTTGGTTGGATATGTATATGAGTAGGATTGGGTGATTATAAATAGGAGCTGCCTCGTATGGGCCAATAGGCCTTCTGCAGTTACCTTGTTCTTATGTTCTTAAATAATGGAAGAAATCCACTTAATGTAGATTCTGGCAGAAGACAATATGAAACTTGATTGTTGGTTTAGTAAACTAATTTTCATTTAATTGTTTTTGTTGTTTTGGCTAATCTTGTATTTCTAAACATTCAAAATAATACATATATAATTTAGAAATATTTGACTAAACATGTATTATACTGTAAATTGTATTGATGTATTTTCTAAGGCATCCAGACTGTAAAGACATGTATAAGTGTATCAACTCTATCAATATGTGTGTAAGTGCGGCCTGACCTCTCATTATTCAGGCATTGTGTTTGGCTGTTCTTCTGATGTACTTTTACATGTATTTACAATTTGAAGCCATGTTGTGTTGCTGTAGTGGTATAGGAATGCAAGACAAGGGGTGAGGGAACTTTCGTATCATGAACAAGAAAGCCTAGTAACTACAGAAATATAATTGTTGTTAGGGAGGCAAGCTTCTGGCAGAGGAAGCAAGTGTTAAAAGACACCGAGCTTATGCTGGCCGAGGAATATGGCATTGTTACTGATGCTGATTTTGACATAGAATAAAATATGACGGAAGCAAATCATATAGTTTGTGAATAAAATGGGGAGCAGTTATGGAAAGTTACCAGTCTGTGGCTGAATGTTTGACACTAGTCATGGATAGTAAGGGCTCTAAGGCCAGTTCACGGTGACTGCAGAAGCTTAATAGGTTCAAACCCTTCATGACAGTATTATACTATAGTAAAATAGTATTATAGTAGTGATATAGTAGTAGTAGTATGTATCCATCAATCTCGGGAGACTATGGAGTTGCGCTCTGGTTGTCGGTCTGGAGTGGCCTCTCCAGGGCACAAAGCCAGGATAGGGGGGGAGGTGGATATGGGGAAGAAGTTGTCACCCATGCAGCAGGTGTCCCCCCCCCCCCCTGCACCGTGCCGAAAGTTTCCAATGGAAAGACAACCGCCAACACGACTGGTTCCAGCACCGTCACAGGAACTGCCAGAACGAGGTTGAAGGCAACAAGTGATATGGTACTATAGTATTAATATAGTACTATTTAGTACTATACTATACAAGCACAGTTTTGGACAATGTCCTGATTTTGGAGGTGCATCTGTATATTCATAATGTACTTGTTTAAAATTAAAAAATTACCATTATTATTTTTTTTTTTTTTTTTTTTTTTTTTTTTTTTTTATAAATAGTATACGGTTTCATGTAAAAGATCATCTGAATGTCACTGAATAATTTGTATAATAAGAAATTGATAGATTGATCATTTTTCTTTACAGTGTTGAAATTATACCTCTTTGTAAAGACAGTGTGGTGTGTCTACCTCCCAAGTTAGCTCATCAACTCGGTGGCATTGGCCAGATATGCGTTGTTCACCGTGTCACCAATCAATTTGGATTAATTGATCCTGCTACTGCGCAACGTATGTTAGATTTTATTCTGATTTGATTCGTTTAAATGTGTTGCTTTCCTAACTTCAATGGCCACATGAAAGTAAAAAATAGTAGCTCTTGGGGAAAGCCCCTGTCTCATATCTACTTTAGTTGGTACATTTATACTTCTTTATGTTCTGGTATTCTTGTACGTTCTCTTGAAGCTGTGAATGGCTTCTGTGACTTCTTACTCAGCTTATTCCTTCCTCCCACATTTTGTGAGCACATTTTCTTCTCCAATCAAGTAAATCAAGATCAGCAGTGGTCCAAATACCAAACAATGCAGGATCCCATTTATCGCTTACTTTCTCTCAATACAAATCTCGGTTTTCTGTTAATGTTTTCAGTGATACGGCCAAGTGTAAAAGATAATACGAAGAGTGAGATGACATTGAATACCTTTTAATAATAATTTTCTGGCTTTCCGTACATATCATATTTCATATACTTCGACATACTTACACTAGATACCTTTCTCAAAATCTAGCACTTTCAATGCTTGTACTCTTTAGCACTCTGCCTCTTTCCATACCCAAGTTTTTCTTTCCTTGTGTCAGAGCTGGGAGTAATATACTAATTCTCAGATCTTTCTTTATGTTCATACTAACACTCATACCTTTCTCTGTTTAGTACTATTATCCTCTTATACGGATCCTGTAGTGCAGCAGTCACTGCAGTTGGGTAATAACCAGAAGGTCCCGAGTTCCATTCCTGTAGCAGGACAGAGGTGATTGTGCATGTTATCCTTCACTTAAAACTCCTGATAACCTAGCAGTAAATAGGTAGAGTACTTGGAATTAAGGCAGCTGTTGTGGGTGGCAACCTGGGGAGGGTCAATAGTTTGCGTAGATGAAGACTGGTAGGCCTAACAGACCTGGTGTACCTGACAAAGTCAAGCAAACTTTCTCCTACTCATTACTCTCTCTTCCAATAGACTGTATTTTCCCTTATTTTGTGTTATTTAATCTGCAGTTCAAATTACTTGTGTTTTACCACTTTAGTAGTTTCTAAAATTATTGCAGTGGATATCATTGTTTTGACTGATGAGCATACAATTCATGACACATTCAAAGCTAACCTTTAAATTTACTAATATGAGAAAAATAAATGGTAATTATATCGGATGTTATAGTACCGTGTATTAGTAAATTGTGTTAATATTGTTCCCAACATAAACAATTAGTGACAATCTAAATATTGACAGTGGCAGAAGTAAGCAGCACTGTGTTTTGGCGAACACCCTTCAACGCGCTCTGCACTTCAAAGAAACTAACGGAGTTTGTCGTGATGGACACAAGTGAAGCCAGCGTGAAGCATTTCAGTGGTCAGGGTCAGATTTCTAAGAAGGTAAAAGATTAGTGTACCACTCATCACCACCACCACCACCACCACTACTTCCTCTTTGTTTAGGTTTGCCTAGACCTAAACTTAGCTTGTCAACCCTGTATGGTCTACATTACCATTATCTCATTTCTCACTTTCATGAGGTTGGCAGGCATCAGCCTGCCAACCATTTAAATTTGGGTTTTATCTTACCTATTGTATAGAATTTAGTTGGTTATTTTTTATTCTTTTATTCCACAGCATCAGGTAGCAGAGGTTTGGGTACAACGAGCTAATGAGCTTGGCTCAGACAACATGATCTTCTGCAGATCGCATCTTGGTCACATTCTTAGCCCTGGAGATACTGTTTTGGGGTGTGTATGTTTTATTTATTTTAACAAATTAGATATAAAATATTTTACAGTCAACCCTTCCTCTGTGTTAGGATTATTTTCCTCGTCTGGATTTACACCCCCCCCCCCCTCCTGTGGCTCTTGATGGCACGACCAGCTGAACCAGTACTCGTAGTTGTCCGTCAGTCTTGCTACAGAGTGGTCATTTTTACCATCTAGTGCTGCTTTTGTCTGTGTCTCTTTGTCCTGTTTCTTCTGTGTCCATTCCGGTGTTTTTTTTTTTTTTTTTCCTTTTTATCTTGGTTGTTTGTTGATCGGCAAACTCTGTGTTAGCATTTGGCATCAACATTTCCATTTCACAAGTTGTCTCATTCCTTTTTCTCATCTCTGGCCTGCCCCTGCTCCCTGAACTGAAATCTACACAACAAATTTGCCCAAGACTTAATTCTTGTACTTTGAAGCTGCTCAGAACAAGGGTTCACTGTATTATCCTTTTGAACTTTATAAAATGTTATAATCATTCTTTTTTTGTATTTCTCCAAGTCATTTTTAATAATTACTATACTGTATAGGCAAATTGCATACTGTACTGGCATAAATTGTCTAAGCTCATGATTTTAGAATTCTTAAGAAACTTCATTATTACATTTCAGCTTTGACCTTCGGTTGTCAAATATTAACGATGCAAACGTAGATAAGATGAACCCAGATTTGGTTCCTGATGTTGTACTTGTGAAGAAAATCTTTGCTGATAAGGCGACACGAAATCGTCGTCGGCGTTGGAAGCTGAAGCACCTTGGTCTCGATGACGATGCTAACAGTCAAAATATGTAAGTTTTTCATCAATTATTTAATATTTTAAGTTTACTAAATAGCATGTCCATGTATTGCCATTTTTACATGCATAATTTATTTGTATCTCCTTTGATGCTGATACAAAAACAATTTTGTTGCGCATTTAATTCTTAAGTTACATTCTTTGACATCAAGCATGCTTTCACACACTTGCTTTTCTACTTCCTTGAATTATTTCTCCCCTTTATATTATATATATTTTTTTTTCTTATATTCTTTTTAGACAAGCATTAAATTATCATTAAAAAGAAGTATTGTACTTTGACCCAAGATGGAAAGTCAAAACTGACATGCATGCAACAACAAAAAGGTTGATGAATCTGGATCTAAATCCTACTTATGGATGGGTGATCCAGTAGCAAAATTGCATAAGTGAGTTATATCACTGTAAAGCCCAGTGCTTCATTTAACAATTCCGACCTCTTTATAATAGATATCTTTAAAGAACAGATGACATTACTATGAATAAATAATAATGAGCATGAACCGTCTTCATCAGGTCATGACATTATTCCTCCCACAGTTATGTGAAACGTGGACATAAATTTTTTCTAGTCTTGTTATATATATTTCATATTTGCAGTGCAAAACTAATGCACATCGTCTTACTTTTTTAGCTTAATGACGTGTTTTAATTACCTCGAGTAGCAGTCGTCTTCAAAGGTGCAATGTTAAAAACATAGTTTGTTGTAGTAAGAAACGACTTTCTCAAATATATAAATATTGTATTGTGAAGTTGTATATCATCAGGTGAATGTTAGGTAAGGCCGCGTGTTTTATATCAGTTGACAATTACTGCATTAGTTTCTAGAGTATGCAGATACTATATTTCAACCCATCCTCCTGTTTAGATAGATAATTTGTCAATGGTCACAAATAAGTACATACAGTACTTAGCGTTTAGAATTAACTAGTAACGAATTAATTTAAAATAAAGCTGAAAAACACACTTAAATATTACTAGGCCAAGTATAGCATATATATATGTACTATATTAGGCCTCAGATATTGTGTAGGCCTAGGAAGGTTAAGTTAGGTTAATTTAGTTTGTCAAAGCGACACAAGTAAAAACTAGTTTTCCTGTTTGTCCAACTCGATAGTTGTTGGAAAATAGTAAATTGGAAAAAAAAAAAGACAGCTGGTAAATTAAAGAGCTGTTGGCAAATGTGAGGACGACTGTTATTGACATTATTCTAATGATTTGTACGTTTGTTTCGTCACGCGACTAATAATAACATTTTTTGATTCAGGGATTACACCGATTTCCTGGAGGATCTGGAGGAAGACCCACAGTACCGCACCAACATCAACATTTATCGTGACGATGCCAAGATGGCTAAACAAGACACTGAAAGTGAAGCAGGAGAAATTCCCCAAGTAGGATTGGAGGAAATGCTTGACGATCTACATATTTTGGAAGGTCCAACAGAAGATGAGGGAGCAGAGATGATAGAATAGTCATTTGTACTACATGAATTACTAGCTTAAGATTTCTATTGCTGTATTTAAAGGTTTTCAATTTGGTTGAAAAATGTATTGACTTTATTGTATACTTAGTATTGTATAATAATATTCATAATATGTAGAGAATTCTGAAATACAGATGAAACTGAAAATTCTAGATTTTTCTCTTAATGAATTGGTTTACCTAGTATTGTTTTAATATATTTTATGTCAAACTTATTGCAATTATATGAAACTACCATTATGCATTCATTACTGTAGTATATAGGCTATCGATAACTTCGTCATTTTATTAAACTACATGAAAAGTTATTTTCAAATTCTTGTTAGCTCTCAGAAACCAAGATTATCATCCAGTCATTAGATTTATGATGTAGTTAAAAGGCTGTGTTTGGATCCTGTCTTCCAGCTATCCATTTCTGGTAGCTAAATGGTGGAAATTGAGAGTTATGTAGCAAAGACTGCTCTTGGGACCTGACGTTTTACTTATGTTTTATTTATTTATATACAAGGTACAGGGGGGAGTTAAGGGGGCGTCTGGTTGGCATCTGGGTCCAAAAATGCAAAAATGAAAACTCATTCGATTTCAATCAAACTTTTTTGAAAGTTCTATAGAAAGGGTTGCATCTGGTCCAAGTTTCAGCATTGTAGCATAAATAGGAAAGGAGAAAAAAAATATTGAAGTAGTTGTGAAAATTATGCAAAAATGGTCAAAATTTTTTATCAATCAAAAGTGTCAACTGAAATCATAAGTACAACTCTTTGCTATCACAATAGCATATATTAAACAAATATTATTATTAGTTTAATTGGAAAAAAACTTTAAGGAAAAAAAAAAAAAAAGGATTTTTTTTTCTTTTTTTTTTTTTTAAATATTTTTTTTTTTCATTTTTTTGGGGGCGATTTGCATCAAACTTACACACCTGACTGTACGTAAGCCTATCTGTAAGGATGCCAATTTTGGAGAAAATTGGTTGATGTCAACCCCAGCCACAGATTTTAGAACCTTAGACTTTATTCATTTCTGTTTTTTTTTCAATTGACACAAACGTTTACAAAACTCATTCTTTTCTTATTCAATTTACATGAAACTTACACAGTATATGTGGAGGGCATGTCTCTACATTGGGGGGCTTTCATTTTTCTCTAAGTTCATTTATTGATTTTATAATAGCAATAAACATGCCATATTTGCAAAAAAATTTTGGGGAACTTTGAACATTTGTATTAGGAAAACTAAAGATATTTTGGAAATTCTAAATCCCCAAATCCTTTATTATATGCTAATGTGTCAGAAAAGTGTCACAGAATAATTTTATCTGAAACGTGTGTTCTGAAGTGTGGTCTTGAAAATGTGTAAAAAACGTTCAAAAAAAAAAAAAAAAAAAAACTCCCTTTCTATTTACGCTGCAGTACTGAAACTTGGACAATTTAAGCACTTTTCATATACAACTAGAAAAATAATATTGGTTGACATTGAACAACTTTCATTATAATAACCAGACGCCCCCTTAAGAGAGTACATAGTAATGATGTTACATTCTTGTAAAGCCACTAGCGCACACAGCATTTCGGGCAAATCATTAATCTAACAGTTTTAAGTAGGTTATCATATTAGTGTTAGATCCCCCTCACATTGGAAGAATCCAACAGGCAACTAATTCCTTAAGGTTCTGCTGTTGATCATCAGGTGGCTAAGAACACTGCTTTTTAATAATCAGAACACTATTATTAAAGGCTTCACCCAAACATGCACTGAATGATGTATCCTCTGCACTTTATGCTGGAGCTTCATTCACACCAACATAAATGATTTAAACTTTCCATACCACAGATGTGTAGAAAGATCAACCATTGGCAATATACTGTTGGGGGGAAAGAATTACAGTACTGTACATTTAATATACAAATGGATTTGCTGTTCCAATTTTCCAGTGATCACTGGTTACTAGGATGGAAGTCTTTTGCAAAAGTAGACTATTGGTACTTTCTAGTTACATAGTGATGATTTTGTTGGGATATACTACTATCATTCCTCTTACTTAAAGATGATAAATTACAATGTTTATTCAGAAACTTGAGATTGGTTAAAATGCTACATAAATGTGAACTAGATCTGGGGTTGCCTTGAAAGATTACTAGTTTTGTTTTAAATATTTATCAAGAGGAATAAAAAGCTTTACTTTAAACCAGAGAGAAGTGGAATGCTCCAACAAAAACCTTCACAATGAACACTATAGTCATATTGGCCCAATGCAGCAGTACCATCAAGAAACTTTCTTCCCAGCCAGGTGGCTTTTGATAATTACTAGCTCTGTATAGTAGCTTTACATCACAAATTGAGGATGCAAATTCGACAACGCTGTCATAAAAGGCAAGCGGTACTTTCGGAATTCATGAGATTCTAATAAAAGAAATGTCCTTTGACATTATGAAACTACAATGTCCTGTAAATCAATATTCTACCAAGCTGGCAATATGTATCGGGGGCATTCTATTAATTGCCGGTTATGTGTATGGCCCATATGTAACCTAGCCACCGCAGATTACTATGGTAGAAAGGCTAATTGAACAGGCTACCCATAAGAAGGCAAAGTATGCTAGCTACCTTTACCAGTCCTTTTTGAGTTATGAATGGGTAGTAATCTGAATATGGGTTTCCTTATGGAAAATAACAAGTGTAGATAGCCTACTTAGTGCCAGTGCCCTCATGGTCATATAAGGTACAGTAATACCAATATAGCTGCCAATCTCTTTTAGATTATAAAACAGACCCAGAGGTTACATAATTAAATTTTCAATTCCCTATCAATGCAAGTCTTATTTTCTAGATGGCAAGAAATCAAACAAAGTTCCTTTTACAGCTTTATTCTCAAAAGGACCAGATGGAAGTGGTTTTTATAATATAATCAGCTATATGATCCAGTTTGTGGAGGAGTCATCTACTGAAGTTATCCTTGGAAGAAGCTGAAAATAAAAATATTTGTTGGTAAAAAACACAGTAAATAATGAATTTTATTAAAAATTTAAATAAAAATCAGTTGGGAACATTCGACAGTAGAATTCCGTCCGCCCGTTCATAGTCATCATGTTAAATAAAATATTTTTGCTATCATTTTTATTTTTGCTATCATTTTAATAAAATATTGAATAATATTCTTACCGTAAGTCAGTAGCACAAAGCCGCCAACAGCTCTTCTTTTACTCTGAAAATTAAAAAAATTTTAGTTTCCATATTATCATAGAATACTTTATATTTTTTATTATACTTTATTACAGTTCTTGGAAGCATCTCAAATTAAAATATTTTAGTAAAACAGTAAATAATAATGTATTTTATTAAAAAATTAAATCAGTTGGGAACATTCGACAGTAAAATTCCGTCCGCCCGTTCATAGTCATCATTTTAAATAAATTGCTTTCGTTATTTTAATCAAATAGCAAATAATATTCTTACCCCAAGTTGGTAGCGCACAGTCGCAAACAGCTTTGATTTTCCTCTGAAAATTAAAACAAATTTTAAGTTTCCATATAATCAAGAAATACATTTTCATACATATATAAAAAAAATCAGCTTGGAACATTCGACAGAAGAATTCCGTCCGCCCGTTCATAGTCATCATTTCAAGTCAAACTTTATAAAATACTAATATTCTCTACCTAGGCCATCAGCACACAGCAGCCACCAGCAGCTTTGATTTTCTCCTCTGCTTTTCGAGAGAAGAATTTTGCCTTGACAATAACTGGCTGTTTGGGTAGGTTACCCTTGCCCAGGACCTTGTAGTAGCCCTGGAATATACAAAAGAATCAATTAATTCTTAACAAAATTCCAGACAATAATAATGTGCGATGAGAATCAGTAATGAACATTCGACAAATGAATTCCGTCCGCCCGTTCACACAATCATCACAAAAACAGCATTAGACACTCATGATAATCTTGCCAAATGAATAAATCCCGCAAAACCCACTATCATACATAAATCTGGAAAGCTTCAAATCTAGAAGCTTGGACTCTCCAGACCAAAGGTAGCCCCTGCATACTGAACTTCTAATTAGCCTGATAGCCATGACATTCAGCCAGTCAAAAGTGGTTCACCACCAAATGCACAAACGTGTTTAAACCATCCTGAAATACTGTATTCATAAAAATATTTAGCCTTCAAAACAAGTTTCACATGGCAGTGGCAGCAGTATGCCACAGGAGTGTCACTTTTTCCTGGTTACTACGGCATGCTGCAGAGCACACCTCAGTGCACTTAAGACACATGGGCAACTCTATAAACTCTGTAGAGGTTTATTTGCTTAAACAAATCCTACTAAGGCCGCGTGTAGGAGTCGAACCTACGTCCGAGATCATCCCAGACACTGCCTTAATCGACTGAGCTACGACATGGTAAAGAGTTGCAACCAGAAGTTCTACTGGTTTTAAGTTTTTACCAATTCTACTGGTAAAAAGTTTTAGTGTTTATTTGCATGTTTTGACAAAAGATCTGTTGCTGACAATAGCATTGTTTTAATCAACTTTAAAGTGAGCACTTACTGCCATCTAATCACAGAATGAGTTACTATTGACAATTTAATTATTTTCAAAACAATAGTTCTCCTTGAATGCAAATAATCGAGAACAAATTTTAGTGGTGGAATCGCCTACACAAATTTATGTATGCTCTCAAACGAAATTTTTTAGTTTCTGATCTACATATATTCTATCTTCAAATAAAATTTTAAAGAAATAACAGCCAAGAATTTCACTTTCTCTGAGCAATATTTTATTAAATTGTATTAGTTTATCAAGGATAAATTATATATCCTCATTGTGGAAATAAAAGCACACGAGCTGTATGGGATTGTTAATGATTGCATAAGGGTTGAACACAATCGGCTAATAATTTTAAATTTTCATGGTATATATGGGAAGAACATAGCTTTTAGAGTAATGTAGTAAATTTCTAACATTAACACCTCAAAAATATTATCAATTGTATTTATAGTCTGTTGGATCATAGTTTAGTAGTTACTAATTTTTTCAGTTTTCCACCATGATTTTCTTACATTAATGCTGCCACAAAAAATTAATATTTTCTTACCATAAAAAAAAAAATTGTATAGAGCCAAGAGGAGCGCTTAAAATGCAGAACTTACAGATCTGACAACATTGATGACCGGGGCCTTTTTGGGAATCTTGGCATAGTTGGTTCTTGTCTGCTCAGACACTAGAGACCAGATTTTGTCTAGATTAATAATTGGAGCCCATCTGTGATTGGGACGGTCATGGTATCCTCGCATACCAACCTGTACAGATCAAAATACCAATATTAGACTAAATTATACATCAAGATAGGTGGGGTTATTGTCATTCTACCAAATTTGTCATGTGAAAAGATTAAAATTAATTATCTGTACTACTGTATATCTAATCTCTAGTAATTCTGGTAATTACTCTTAAGATGAGTATTTACACTAAATTCATACAAGTTTTAGCTATTAGTAAACAAAAAAGACAAAAAATAACGAAAAAAAATTAGACCTAGACAAGTTAGGAACAAGAGAACAACCAAGGGAGGTGTAACAGGTCTCATGATGGTACAATATACCTAAGATGTAAACAAATTTCACAATTTTACAATATACATTAAATACCTTTGAACCTTCAAGGGTTACAATGTTGAAAATTTAAACGGGTATGTAGTCATTTGTAAATCAAATAAAACTGACCAAACCAAGGCCTTTACAAGATGAACAAGAAATGCCTTATGCTGTTCATAACATTATATCCCTCTTTCTTGCTTACCTCCCCTCTACACAATCAATTATGTAAAATCCTGAATGCACTATTCCGTTTTTATAAAGAAAACAAACCATTAGCGTCTATTCCCAGTAGAAGACACTATAACCAGCATGCTTTCAAGTCACGAAGTGATTACATTATTCTACGTTAAATTTTTAGTGCCAAGATGCCATTTATATTGAAATTTTCAACATTTCTTCAATATATAAACCTTGTCAAGTTCATCTTATGCAGATAAAGTCACAATAACATGGCTGAAAAACGCGGACCATACACTAGAAAATTAAGAAACTACAATGTTTCGGTCCGTCCTGGACCATTATCAAGTAGATTGTCAATCGACTTGACAATGGTCCATGACGGACCGAAACGTCGTCGTCTCGACATTTTCTAGTGTGGTTTGCTCAAGTTCACCTTACCTTTCCAAAGTAACCAGGATGGTATTTGTCAAAGTTAATTCTGTGATGGTGCTGACCACCGGCATTACCACGACCACCAGGATGCTTGCGGTGCTTTCCTGTGAAATAATCTCTGTTAATTTTTGTACAAGACTATTTGTCTGCATTTTAATACAAATTCCTGTGCATGCGGAACTAATTTGCCCCAAGAATCTTACATTGTGCTTGTCCGTGTATGGGAGAATGCAAGAAAAATTAAAGTTGCCTGCCCTTAGCCTTCAAATCATTCTAGTAACTAGTTACATTACTTTTGCAGCCAATCAAACATTTCTGAGCCCTACAGTGTATCCAAGAATACATTACAAATATTCTATTAAAAAATAGAATACCTTTTAATAGAATATTAAGGTATACAGCGCCAGGTATGAACACATGTACAATATGAACTATCTACCAAATGTTAATAAAAAGCGGTAGTGTGGCTGCCAAAGATGTTGCCCCATGTGATACTCTGGCCACCGAGGCTATTTAGACAGGCCTATAACCTGGCCATTGTCGAACCTTCAACAGGATTGTCAAAGCTTCACCAAGACACTCATTGCAGAGGCCAGTATTTCTACACTATCATTGATTTTTATGAATCTGAGAGGTTGGCATCGCATACATTGAAATTGCCAGGGTTTCAAATCACGTTAAGCAATGGGCAGCTCTGAATTTAGTACAAACTAAACGCTGGCATTATTAATTAATACATTTGCATTCCGACAACACTAAGATGCATCATCTGATTGTTATGAATTCAAACATTTTTATATTTATCATTGTACACAATATAAACACTTGCTTTATCTATTCTCTATAGAGAATGTCAAATTTTTACACCATATTTATATTTAACCCAAAAAAATTACTTAATATAGATCCCAGAACGTTTATGGTCAGTAATGGGTGGAGGCACTGGAGAGCCAAAGTGTAGTATACAAATATAAAAATGGTTGAAGGAATACAATATCAAAATTCTTTCCTATCTAGACAAAATTATCCATCATATTAAGTTTGTTACCATTCTTTGACACTTGACAACAATAACTTGACAAGCTATATGCAATGGATTATTATAATATCGCACTCGATCTGCCACACAACCCAAGGAAGCATGGAAATGAAGAGTGCTAAATTACTCACAAAATACCACCCATGACCAGACCACACACGAGGTGAAGGGACGACGACGTTTCGGTCCGTCTTGGACCATTCTCAAGTCGATTGTGCATAAATAATGCTTCTTGCATTCTTACACTGGCACACACTAAGCATGTCTTAGTCCATACCCATTCAATAAAACATTACAAGCTTAACAATATTTAATATTTTAAATACAAGCATGATCTCTTCTGTCCACAAAGCCTCATTTACTACAAGCCTCTAAAGAGCAATACCATATACACGGTTCAATATCTAGCACACAACTTCTTGATAACTGTCGAGGCAAGTACTGTATCTTTCACGTTTCACTACAGAATACACCTTGTTCACATTGCCTATTCTATACTCAAGAGCCAACCGCCTGTATCTATACTACATTATTTTCTATCAAATTTTTAAATTTGACGTTACCTATATTTATATAAACGGTATAATCAAAATTTTCGATGTCCAATTACGCAGTTTTCTTCACTGCACAATCAATATCACAAAATATCAAATGTATCATTGTTAAAAATCAGCAGAGCCAAAATTTTAAAAGAACTACTGGTAGTAATAAGGTATGTAATGACGTGACGTTTTCATAAACACTAAATATTGTTGCTTACCAACACGACCGTGGCCGTGGCTCACATGTCCACGAAGCTTCCTAGTCTTCTTCTTGTGGGTGGACTGAAAAAGAAATAATTTATTAACAATTGTAATAAAAATCCATTACATTATTTAGGGCTCATTTTAATTACTGCATTTGAGCATTGATGAACTATCTGCAAGTCAAATGCGCAGCCCCCATGTAACCACGATCTACACTAACTATTCTAACTATAGAAACACTAGTGGAAAGCAATCCAGATTTGAAAAAACATAACGCGTTCTATAAAGTTGTCGTACTGTGGATACAAGCCACTTTTGCCGATCTTTACAGCCTTACTTGCATCGATAACTGAATCGAGCCATTTAAAGGTATAACAGAATTATACTTAAATGCACAATTCAAAATCAATTTCATCATTCAAAGCTAGACCTACCCAGCCTTAAGTGTTCTGAATGGTTATGGTGTTACTATTTGCATCATTTAATGCTACCAGTTTTACTTTTAAAGTATATGTCCCAAACAGTAGAACTCTTATACAATGGAGGTGCAGAACAGTTTGGCCCATAGCATGATTTGCCATTTTTACAGCGATAGACTCGTGGAGCACCGAGCCACTTCGATATAAAAAGTGAGCAAGATGATTTGACCAAAATCTTATGTTTACTCTGAATCCAAACAGGGCATGGTCATATCTCAGGCATTTCCCTCACTGATCATTTCATTCACCCTAATTGTACAAAATTCTCCACATTATGAACTGGGTTGGTAATTATTTCATAACCCAATCATTAGGCAGAGCTACAGTGTAAATCAGCACATTATCTTTGTAAAATCTTAGGCCCCTTCTGTGTTTAATAAATTTATAACTAATGTTAAAGAAGTCGGACTTGGTTTCACAATTTCAAGTCCAACTTGCCTGCCTTCATAACAAATTCAAAAACCAAGTACTAGGGAATAAGATCTCAAGTGATGTTCATTCTGCAATAGTGACCAAATTTTAACACTTTCGCGTTCCACAGACTGACTATCTCGTCACTCACTTTTCTACTGAATGTGTTCCAACGACGCAATACTGAGTCGCTCATTAAAATATTTTTTAAAAATTTAAATTTTATCAGATCAATCTGGTAGTGGTTTTAAAATAAGCGCCTTTAGACTGCACACAATTTGATACCAAAATCAAAGATATAACATGAAACTTGATGTCCAAACACTTGAAATATTATAAATAGGCCTATGGTCCGAATATTAAAATATTTGTTAAAATTCTATTTATTGTCCTATTATCTTGGGACTAGTTTTAAAATGCGTGCCTTTTTATTGCGAACAATTTGATACCAAAACGAGTGACGTAGCACGAAATTTGATGTTATCAAATTGAACGAGTTGAACATTAGGTTGCAATGTACAAAATGGTGCTCGTTCACGGGTAACTTTAGGCTTTTCTGCGGGGAGGCACTCCAGCCTTTTGTACATTTTATTCACACACATCTATAGGGAATTTAATTGCGAACACAATGATACCAAAACGAGCGACGTAGCACGAGAATAAAGGTAAAAAAATGGAACGAGAATGCACATGTTACCGATTTTGTGCGTTTTTGCCGACTTTACGCTTTGCTGTTGGGAGTCACGCTAGGCTTTTGGACATTATATTTATACACACCTGTAGAGAATTTAATTGCAAACACAATGATACCAAAACGAGCGACGTAGCACGAGAATTAAGGTGAGAAAGCTGGAACGAGTATACACATTTGGGTGTCACCGGGCGCTTACCTGCACGGAGGGGCCACGATCCCCCTGTCAACCGCGAGTTTCCACGGAGCGCGAAAGTGTTAATGTCCAAGTGAGACTTCGGTAGTTAATTATAATTAACCCCTAACCTACACAACCATTTTTAACTATTTTTCTTGGTTAACATTAACAAATAATAAGCCTCCCTTTTTATATCTTAAAACATTTATTTCCAATATCAGAAAAAATACAAATTCTAATAATTTTAGCTTGGGTGTAGCGAGGTGTAGAAGTTTTTTTTTTTTAAATCAACCAGTAACATTTCTAATAGAATCTGCCATTCTTGCTTCCAGTAATGCCTAGCTTACTGGCAAATTGTTGAAGGTATACAATAATCAAAATTCTTTCCTATCTAGACAAAATAATAGATCACATTAAGTTTGTTACCATTCTTTGACACTTGACAACAATAACTTGACAAGTTATATCCAATGGATTATCATAATATTGCACTCGATCTGCCACACAGCCCAAGGAAGCATGGAAATGAAGAGTGCTAAATTACTCACATAATACCACCCGTGTCTAAAGTCTTATAAATTGTCAACCACACTACTGTGGATAACATTTCATTCACTTGGGCACTAGGAGTCTCGAACCACAAACAAATTATTTACCACAAATTTATTACAAAATAAAAAAAACTGAAGTTAAACACCAGTTGTGGAATCAACCAAGTTAGCTACAGGCAAAATATTTCTACTGCTGTTATGTACGAACATTATAACAGGAACCCAATCAGAAGCCCTATTGGCCCATACGAGACTGGTGCAGTTCATATTTTCACCAGTCTTAAAATTACTTACCCAGCGCAATGATCGGCGGCAATTACAACTAGATATACTGTTGAAATGCTTATGTACACGATCCAACCACACTCATACAAGGCAGCTTATCACCCCCAACCACACCTACACATGTGGAATGAATTCAACCAAACCTTCCCACCACAAGCAAACCTACACACATGTATAATAAATCCACCCCCAACCAAACCTACACATGTGGAATAAATCCACCACCACCAAGTCTTTTGCATTACTTTGAAAATTACATAAAAAAAAACACGGTTGGGGGGAAAAATTCACATACACCAGACCAAAAATTTACTTTTTAAAAACCCACCCACAAACTTTTTATAACTTTTAAAAACCACTTCCATAAAACCAGAGCACTGAAAACCTTTCAGTTAAAACCCAGGCGCCAGTAAACAATCAACACCTGAGCCACCAGACTCCAGCATGGCTCTCATCCCCCACCATAATATATCGCCATTCATCCTCAACACCTCCCACATATTCCCCCTGCCGCTGCTCAAATCCTACTCGCCCGTTGTCACACAGTACCCGCACGGGCAGACCCTCGTCAGGAGGGACGCGGGAGCCTCGCAAAACCCCGATAATTGTACAAGAGAGCGAGAGTCCATACCATGTTGACGGCCTTGTTTACTGAAGAGAGAGCGCCAGCGCCGCCTGGTGGCAGGTAAACAATGCCTGCCCACAGCGCTACCACACATCTCTCTACCATCCACATCTTTTATTCCCTGTATATCACAAACTATTTATAATGATATTTACATTCTACTATAACGATATATATATATATAAATACATTTATGTATTTTGGTGTATAGTATGGACTCTTATGTTAAGAGTAATAATAAATTTGCCTTGTGTTATACTTGTGGCGCCAATTTTAAATTTTAATTTTTGTTTCTTACTTGAATTTACCTGATGGCCAATAACTCTCTGCTGGCCTCAACGAGAACAGGAAGCCAGAGGCTTATCAAAGGTCCCTCCATTTGTCCTGATAAGAACATAAGAACATAAGAACAAAGGTAACTGCAGAAGGCCTATTGGCCCATACGAGGCAGCTCCTATTCTATAACCACCCAATCCCACTCATATACTTGTCCAACCCGTGCTTGAAACAATCGAGGGACCCCACCTCCACAATGTTACGCGGCAATTGGTTCCACAAATCAACAACCCTGTTACTGAACCAGTATTTACCCAAGTCTTTCCTAAATCTAAACTTATCCAATTTATACCCATTGTTTCGTGTTCTGTCCTGTGTTGATACTTTTAATACCCTACTAATATCCCCCCGGTTATGTCCATTCATCCACTTGTAAACCTCTATCATGTCACCCCTAACTCTTCGCCTTTCCAGTGAATGCAACTTAAGCTTTGTTAATCTTTCTTCATATGAAAGATTTCTAATTTGGGGAATTAACTTAGTCATCCTACGCTGGACACGTTCAAGTGAATTTATATCCATTCTATAATATGGCGACCAAAACTGAACTGCATAATCTAAATGGGGCCTAACTAGAGCAAGGTATAGCTTGAGAACCACACCAGGTGTCTTGTTACTAACGCTGCGATTAATAAATCCAAGTGTCCGATTTGCCTTATTACGAACATTTATGCATTGATCCTTTTGTTTTAAATTCTTACTAATCATAACTCCCAGATCCCTTTCGCAATCCGACTTCGCAATCACAACACCATCTAGCTCGTATCTTGTAACTCTATCATCATTACCTAACCTCAGAACTTTACATTTATCAGCATTAAACTGCATCTGCCAATCCTTTGACCATTTCAAAACCCTATCTAGATCAACTTGAAGTGATAGTGAGTCCTCCTCCGAATTAATTTCCCTACCGATTTTCGTATCATCGGCAAATTTGCAAATGTTGCTACTCAAACCTGAATCTAAATCATTTATATAAATTATAAACAACAGAGGTCCCAGGACAGAGCCTTGAGGCACTCCACTTACAACATTTTCCCACTCTGACTTGATTCCATTTATACTAACTCTCTGTTTCCTTTGGTATAGCCATGCCCTAATCCAGCTTAATATAGCACCCCCAATACCATGAGACTCTATCTTTTTAATCAGTCTTTCATGTGGCACTGTATCAAAAGCTTTGCTAAAGTCAAGGTATACAACATCGTAATCCTTACCACTATCAACTGCCTCAACAATGCTAGAATAAAAAGATAACAAATTTGTTAAACATGAACGGCCATTTATAAAACCATGTTGCGACTCAATTATTAATTTATGTTTTTCAAGATGAAGACGAATTTTATTTGCTATTATAGATTCGAGTAACTTTCCCACAATAGACGTTAGGCTAATTGGTCGATAGTTAGACGCAAGTGATCTATCTCCTTTCTTAAAAACTGGTATCACATTAGCAACTTTCCAAAACTCTGGCACTCTGCCTGACTCTATTGATTTATTATATATGGTTGACAGTGGGTCACAAAGCTCCTCTTTGCATTCTTTAAGCACCCTGGCAAACACTTCATCCGGCCCTGGGGATTTGTTTGGTTTGAGTTTTACTATTTGTTTAAGAACATCCTCCCTGGTAACTGCTAAACTCGTCAACCTGTCCTCGTCCCCACCCACATAGACTTGTTCGGCTGAAGGCATATTGTTAAGTTCCTCTTTAGTAAATACAGATACAAAATATTTATTAAAAATACTACTCATCTCTTCATCACTATCTGTTATTTGACCTGTCTCAGTTTTTAATGGACCTATCCTTTCCCTAGTCTTGGTACGATATAACTGAAAAAACCCTTTAGGATTTGTCTTTGCTTGCTCTGCTATGCGAACTTCATAGTTTCTTTTTGCTTTCCTTATCTCTTTTTAACATTTCTAACCAGTTGTACGAATTCCTGTTCTAAAGTGACCTCCCCATTTTTAATCCTTTTGTACCAAGCTCTCTTTTTACCTATAAGGTTCTTCAAATTCTTTGTTATCCACTTTGGGTCATTAGTATTCGATCTATTCAATTTGTATGGTATACTACGTTCCTGTGCTTTGTTTAGAATATTAACTGATGATTTTATCGAGCCTGGATTTTAAAATCCAGCAACTTTTTGACATTTGTGGATTCGTCGGGTAGGCGGTTCCATGATTTTGTAACCCTATAGGTGGAAAGGCTTCTCTTTTCAGTCCTACAATGTGGCTTCTTGGACTTGGAACCGTTGGTCCTTGTCTGTGTTGTATCTGACCATTTGAAAAGTAGTCTGGATCAATATCCTCCAAATTGTTCAGTATTTTAAAAGTTTAAATGAGATCTGCTTTATCATGTCTGGTTTGCAATGTTGTTTGCGGCTCTCAACCGTTTCTGAGTCGACTTACTTCTGGAATAATTCTTATCGCCCGGTGTTGAACCTTCTCTAATCAATTTCTATACTCTTCTTAATGGATCCCGAAGAGATACCTAAAATGCAAAAAGGAGATTGTCAATTTAAGGTGGGTGCGCTCCCACCTGGATTTTCCTAATCACTTGGGCTGGACGGTAGAGCGTCGGTCTCGCTTCATGCAGGTCGGCGTTCAATCCCCGACTATCCTAGTGGTTGGGCACCATTCCCTTCCCCCCGTCCCATCCCAAATCCTTATCCTGACCCCTTCCCAGTGCTATATAGTCGTAATGATTTGGCGCTTTCCCCTGATAGTTCCCTTCCCTTCCCACCTGGATTATTACATCTAGGGATGGAGACCTCGGGCCAGATTCACGAAAGCACTTACGCAAGCACTCACGAACGTGTACATCTTTCCTCAATCTTTGACGGCTTTGGTTACATTTAGTAAACAGTTTACAAGCATGAAAACTTGCCAATCAACTGTTGTTATTGTTATAAACAGCCTCCTGGTGCTTCGGAGCTCATTAACTGTTTAATAATTGTAAACAAAGCCGCCAAAGATTGAGAAAAGATGGACAGGTTCGTAAGTACTTTCGTGAATCCACTCATCTTCTAGACGACATAGCTTTATTGAAGAACGTTCAACACCGGGCAACAAAAATAATTCCAGAACTGTCAACTTTCATACCAGCAAAAGTGCTATATGGTCGTAATGGCTTACCGTTTCATCCTTTTAATTGCCTCATACCAGGAACGGTTGAAGGCCACAGGGCTAACAACACTGCAAACCAGACATGATAGGGCTGATCTCATCGAAACGTTAAAAATGCTGAGCAATTTGAAGGATGTTGATGCAGATAACTTCCAAAAGTCAAATGTAACACAAACAAGGAACAATGGTTTGAAGCTCAACAAGCCACAATGAATGATTGAAAAGATGCTATTTCACCCACAGGGTTATAAGCCCACGGAACCGCCTACCCGCCGAAGCCGTAAAGGCCAAAACTCTGTTAAATTTTGAAATTCAACTGGAAAAAAATCATCAGGTGGGACCTTTGACAAGCCGCCGGCTTCCTGTCCTGGTCGAGGTCACTAATAGTTTCCTACCACAGACGTGGCCACACATTTATCATGCTAACCAGGATATATATGTTTTTTTCTTCTGGAGTTCCCCAGTTTTGCTTGCGGTGGTTGAGCTTCAGCTCTCTGTTCCCGCCTCTTAGCTGTCAATCAACTGGTGTAAAGATTCCTGTCCATGGACAAGGTTAGAGATCTGTTACACATATAGTTTAATGATTTATTGAACAATCAACCACAGAAGGTGATTGTAGTGCTTTTAAAATGCTAGGCTAACCTACATAGTACTGGACATGTCAAGGAGACCCTAACGACTCTTTCAGGGGTCAAGAGTTTTCTGATGTATATGTTGGCTTGGGGATACCTTACCTTGAGGTTACCTTGAGGTGCTTCCGGGGCTTAGCGTCCCCGCGGCCCGGTCGTCGACCAGGCCTCCTGGTTGCTGGACTGATCAACCAGGCTGTTGGACGCGGCTGCTCGCAGCCTGACGTATGAGTCACAGCCTGGTTGACCAGGGATCCTTTGGAGGTCCTTATCCAGTTCTCTCTTGAACACTGTGAGGGGATTGCCAGTTATGCCCCTTATGTGTAGCGGAAGCGTGTTGAACAGTCTCGGGCCTCTGATGTTGATAGAGTTCTCTCTCAGAGTACCTGTTGCACCTCTGCTTTTCAACGGGGGTATTCTGCACATCCTGCCATGTCTTCTGGTCTCATGTGATGTTATTTGTGTGTGCAGGTTTGGGACCAGCCCCTCTAATATTTTCCACTCAATTCAAGCTTGACGTATATGTATGTCAAGCATACGTATATATATATGTCAAGCTTGATATATTCAGTATATCCAGTCTCTATCAGACTGGATAGGACTGGATATCAGACTGTATATTTAGTCTCCGTGGTGTAGTGGTAAGACACTCGCCTGGCGTTCCGCGAGCGCTATGTCATGGGTTCGTATCCTGGCCGGGGAGGATTTACTGGGCGCAATTCCTTAACTGTAGCCTCTGTTTAACGCAACAGTAAAATGTGTACTTGGATGAAAAAACGATTCTTCGCGGCAGGGGATCGTATTCCAGGGACCTGCCCGAAACGCTACGCGTACTAGTGGCTGTACAAGAATGTAACAACTCTTGTATATATCTCAAAAAAAAATATATCCCAGTCCAAATTCAGCTAAGACTCACTATAGAGTCTTAGTGGCCCGTAAGTCAACTCAGGTAAATGTTAAATCTAACTCTAATTAAAAACTTAGGGTTTAGTTAGTTTGTAAGTTTTTCCCACATCTTGCTCGAAAAGCTGTATTGTGTATTAATGGCTGGAGGCATAGTATATATTAGTTTTATCTAGAAATCCAACATTCTGTTTGTAACTCATTATTATTATTAACAGTCTCCGTGGTTCAGTGGTAAAGCAATCGCCCGACGTTTTGCGAGAGCTTTGGCCTGGGTTCGTATCCCTGGCCGGGGAAGATTGACTGGGCGCCAATCCTTAACTGTCGCATCTGTTCACCCAACAGTAAAAATGGGTACCCCTGTTAAACGATTTGGCGGGTCGTATTCCAGGGAACATAGGATTAAGGACCTGCCCGAAACGCTATGCGTGCTAGTGGCTGTACATGTAAGAACTCTTATATATATATAAATAAAACTAAAGTAAATATAAATAAATAAAATTAACCATGCTTCATACAGGATAGTGAACACGTGCGTCATTCAAATAGTTGTTTCATATTAGAGTTGTGTATCAACTCACGTGGAGACCTATCCCCATGTTTAGGGGATTTATATACAAATCAAAGTAATACTGAGTATTTTTTCGGCACATATCTAATTAAAACAATTAGGGAACTACTCAGACTGACAGATGAAGGGGCCTGACGCCACTGAAAACTCGGGCTGGCAGACAGAAAACGTACCGACAAAATGTTTGTTTACCCTTCGATCAGCTGAGAAGCTTGCTAAAGCTCCGCCAATTCTTTTAACCAATTATCAGGCAGCAGAACACCTCTGGCTACATTGGGGCACGGAGGCAAGATATGCCAAGTAAGTGCCACGATGGGCAGGGTATAATGGGTGTAGTTTGACCTCAAGTAATGCTCAAATGTGGCGGTGATGATGGCGGGAGCCCCCGGGGCCTGCTCTAGCCATACTGTCTGTGTGGATATCTATATATATATAGATATCTTTGTTAAAACCTGACTGTAATTACTGACACTCCCTACACCTCTTCACCATCGTACTCACTAACAATGTGGTTCACTTTCGTCTGGGAATTACTTCCTGTATGTTTGTAAGAGAACTCTAGAAACAGTTTGGTTTGCAGATGTGTTGAGTGATCACTCACTTGTATATTCTATAAGGTTACGGTTCAGTGGTTGAGCTTTTTATAGTATTTTATTCTTGTATCCTGTTAGGCACGTTTTAAAAATTATCTACTTGTAGTTGTTACATTGGATTTTGAATTGTTACAAGTGAGGAAGTTATTAAAACAATAAATTAAACCCCGACTAGACCCCAGGACCAGAAAACTTGTCAGTTTCCCCTTATAGAATGTAAAGATGTGCTTAGTGAGTCCTTGTCTTCAATATTTAAACATGAGTCATGCAGAATACTGGAATCTTTGAGTTCCAATTACAAATGTGGGTCCAATATTTTAGAAGCGAGATTTATCACTTCGTCAAATTATCAGCTAATTTTTAATTTTATTTTATTTATACAAGAGTTCATACATTGTTGTAAAGCCACTATAAATTGTGCATGATAAACTATGCACCATGATGAATTTTTACACTAGCATGCATAAATTCCAAAAGGATTGAATTCTCGGAACTCGGTCCATTGTGAGGACTGTGACTGGGAAAGTTGGTCCTATTTCCAGGCAGGGCCGAAAAGGGGATCGATGGTCTATTTTAAAGTAAATTATGGAGTGATATTCCTCAGTTCATATATTTTTTTAATATGTTGAAGAGGACTGTGTTATTTATGGAGTGTTAAGGATGTGTTATTTACAAATGCAAAATATCTGTATTTCCAATTTGATATAGGAATAAATTATTCACCAAATACTTATTTTAATTGTGTACAATGTGCGTAAGAAGAATGCCATCTAGTGTACATGGGGGCACTATTGCCCACCCTGCCCACTTCTCTCAAAAAAAGATGAAGGAACTGAAGAAAAGCAGTGATGTCAAGCTTTGACAGCCATTGGAATTTACTGTCAGGGGATGGATTCAAAATTAGGTTTGGTCACTTTTTTGAGGACATGGACACAATCCTGAAGAGATCAGGGGTTCGGTGGCAGCCGTTTTGAAATGTTAGTTTTCTTGAAGGGAAACTAAAGACAATCGACTTGAGAATGGTCCAGGATGGACCGAAACGTCGTTGTCCCTTCACCTTCTAGTGTGTGGTCTGATCAACATACTTTAGCCACGTTATTGTGACTCATCGCCTGCATATGAAACTAAAGCATTCAATTTACTATTATATTTTTCCTAGTTTCCTTATATGAATTTGACATTAATTGTATTATTTGGAATTAGATTTACTAAAATTAAACAAAAATTAAAATTTTGTTCTCATCTGGTTGTCTTCCTTTGGTTAGGTCAATCTTCTAGAGGTTACTACAGCCAAAGTGCTAAAGATACTTTATCTATGTTTTATTTTTGTATGTTTTTTTGTAATTTTTGTACCTTTTGTAATCCCTTATGTCCTTTAGCATTACAGTATTTTTTCTTGCCAGATATGTACGGCCCTAGCAGATCACCATACGGAGGTTATGACGACTACTGGGGAGGCTATGGCCGTCCTCCTCACCCACCCCCACCCCCTCCTCTTCCACCTCATGACCCACCAAATTTCCACCCCCCACCACCACCACCCCTACATTACCGCCAAATGAGGCCCTCTAGTTCACTTCGTCCTCCTCCACCCCCTCCCCCTCCAGCGAGACATCCTCGCCCTCAGCAGCACCCTTACTCTCATCAAGGGCGCCAATATTCACAAGAAAGAAAACATCCTTCGTACCGTCCTCATGCAGCTGACCATTATTCAGAGCAACACAGCTTCCGACCAAGACACAGTAATGGTGGCATTTCCCCGAGAAGACAGTTTGAGCATGATTTTTATCCAGAGGATTCAGAAATAGATACTCCTATCAATAACCAGTTGGAACCCATTGTTGGCAGTCCTTTGGTTCCAAGGCGAAAAGAACCGGAACCACCACCACCTGTCTCGAAGCCAATACCAAATAACAAAAGACCTTGTAAGTGCATAATTTCAGTAATAAATACTTTATTGGTTTTTAACTGTATTTAATGCAATACAAATAATTGGTCATGAATATTTGTTTTGCACCAAGTAATAGAGTATAGACTGATTTAATATTTGTATTACAAAATATTCATATAGTAATACTTTACATTTCAGTACCAGTCGAACTTGACCCGAGTCTTCCAGAGGAGCTTGTTGCTTTGCTTCACAATAATTGTTGTGAATTGTGCGATGTAAAGGTAAGACTAGGTAGAGCGCTATCAAGGTCAATTGAGAAAGGATGGCCAGTAGTATGAATGGGTTATTTGATCTTGCTTCCTTAAACAAAGTCCTCCTCTTCCCATGAAATGGACTGAATACAGTTGGAGAAGGTTGACATTCCATCTAGCATGGCAGGGATCTTTTCAAACATTCCTGTAACACATATTGAGGCAAAGGAGACACAGGGAAAGGCTTATATATTGAATGACATCAAAAAAGCTAAATTCATCTATACTCAGAACACTTCCAAGCACTACTCTGCATCAAATAGACCATCGAAAAGCACTTTGCTAAGTGTTAGTTGTCCTTCCAATTCAACTGGTCAGTACACCAAGGGCTCCACGTCTTTCAGGATCGGTGTTTGACCCCATTGGTCCAAGTGGTTAGTTAGCATTCCTTCACTCCTTTTCTCATATCCCAGTTCTTTGTTCCCATATTCCTTTCCAGTGCTGTATAGTCATCATAGCTTAGTGCTGTAGGCAGGCTCTGCCAACATACATTTTCCTAGATACAATTGTTCTGAAAGGGATTACTGTCATTCAGTTGTACAAGCTGTGCTTGTTCTGTGAAATCTCAGTTTCCTTATGTTGTGGGCTCTTGCTGTTTGTAGACACATTTTTGGTAAGCAGAACTGGTGCTGTGGGTTGAACCAAACATCGAGTTAAGGGGCCTAAATGAGTGCTCATACATAATGAATGCTCATTAACGGTAGTCTCTGTTCACCCAGCAGTGAATGGGTACCTAGTTGTTAAACGATTCGGCGGGTCGTATTCCTGGAAAAATTTGGATTAAGGACTTGCCAGAAATGATATGCGTGCTAGTGGCTGTACAAGAATGTAAGAACTCTTGTATCTATCTATATAAATAAAAAAAAATAAAAAAAAATCAATATAATAAAATAAAAAATTCTAATCATGAAATTTATCCACTTGCAGTACATTTACAATTCCTTGGGGTGTACATATTAGGTCTAGGAAGGTTAGGTTAGGATAGTTTAGTTTGTCTTTGAACCACAAGTAAAAAAATAGTTTTTAGGTTTACCCATTTCAATAGTGCCGATTTCTACTTTCTAATTTCGTAGTTCTTCAGTAAATATACAGTACTATGGTCCTCATCGTTACTCTTAAGTACTACCAAAACAGGAATATGGGCTGTACTTTCTTTAAATCCTCTTCTCTTAGTTCTTTCCAATCTGTTCCTGGTGAGTCCCTCCCAAGGCGTGAGAATGGGAAGCAAAATATTGTAGAGTAATGCTTCTTGTTGTGTAAAGTATTCATCTCTACATTTTTTCATGTTTTTTCAAGGGAACTAAGAAATTCAAAGTTGATCCTGACTATGATATTTGAAGAATCTGCATTTGCTGATGCAGCTCTATTTAAAGCTCTATTTTGCGCAAACTTACTTCCAATGCTTCTTTTGGCATATTACTTTAACTTTAGTTAATAGTTACTGGGTATCTTCCATCTTTAATGAAAACCTAATTCCTGGATATCCAAGCTCATTCTCAATATTGTACTACAGGGTATTGGTTATGGCTTTGTAGGAATGTGTTATTAAAAGTGGTTTAATAATAAACTGCTAGAGTACTGTACAGTACTTAAATTGGTTTTGAAACTATAAACATCTCTTCCATTTCTTTCAGCTCAATTCTCGCATTCAGGCCAAAAATCACTATGAGGGAAAGCAACATAAGAAAAAAATGAAGAATTTCATAATTGAATTTCTTCGGAAGGAAAGTCAGCCAGCAGAAAAAATACCCAAGATAGATTTATCGACATCTAAAAAGGTCAGTAAAGATAATATTGGGGAAGGGCATTGGGATATTGGGATATTGGCATCTATATATATAGTAGTTAGATACAATTCTTTTTCAAACACGGTGATTATGATGTAAAGTACTTCAGTAGTACAGTTGGCTTTGTTCTTGATTCAAAATTGGGGATCCTGGGGTTCAGTTCCAGGCAAGACAGAGATGATTGGGGGACATTTCCTTTCACCTAATGCCTTTGTTTACCTAGCAGTAAAAAGCTACCTGGGAGTTAGGCAACTGTTGTGAGGTTGCATCCTGGTTAGGGTCAGTAGTTCGATCTTGCAGGGGACCATGATACAATCCTAAAGTGAGATATATATTTTGATTATATAAAATTACTATATTATTTAAAATGTGTGATGTGATTTATATTTTGTTTCAGAAAGTGGAACCATTAGATGTTAGCCAACTGCACTGCAAGTGCTGTGATTTAAGCTTTACTTCGGAACAACACGCACAGCAACATTACATGGGTCGAAATCATCAGCGTGTATTACACGGGCTGAAGCCCTTGAAGGCTGGCTACTATAATAAAGAGACAGGAAAATGGCAGAGAATGTAAGTTTCTTCTCGTTAGTATTGCATGTAGTGTATACTGATTATTAATGAGTTAAGAGGCAATCCCCAGCTTATGAATAGGATGCATTCCGAAAACATGTTTTTAAGTTGGCCGTTCAGAACTCGGATTCAGGTTTTCCACAGGTGCTATGCTATAAATGGTGTGTGCATTCCCACTCGACTTTATATGGCAGTGACCTATTTGGTTTCAATTGTTCCTGTGTTTGCAATTCTGGTTATTGCAGTCACTGTGGTAGCTTCTGTTCATGTCACATGTCTGCTGTTCTGTTGCTGAAGAATACCTTTAAAAAACAAAATTGTACTGTAATTACCTGAGGTGGCTTACAGTAAGCTTTCTTTGGCTCTTTTTTTTTACCAAGATTCTGCCAGCTTCCTCTGTTGGCTGTGTACTCTTTCAGTTTCTGGGCTGCATGCCCTTTCAAGTCCCATTCTGTGTTCCCTTTTTCTTTCTTGGGTTTGGTGTAGGGGTCGTCCTGGTTTGTTGCCGGAGATTCCTATGGCCCACAAAGCTGTGGACCCTTGGTTTCAGGTCTCCATGCTGGATGTCTGAGATTGGTTACCTGTGGTTTTGACCTGCATTTGATCTGGTTGTGTGTATCAAGTTCTATTTTGAACACAGGGAGAGGTTGGTTAGCTATGCCCCTTACATTTAGTATTAAAAGTCTTGGGCCCTTGATGTTGATAGAATTCTTTCTCATTGTATCTATTGAATCTGCTTTTCAGTGGGGGCTATTTTGCACATCCTGCCATGCCTCCTGGTCTCATGTGGAGTCATTTTCAGATGCAGACTTGGAACCAGTCCCTCTTAATATTTTCCAAGTGTAAATCATTGTTGCTCTCCTGCGTGCACTCTAGGAAATATAAGTTTGAAAATTTTAAGCAGTCCCAATAATTTAGATGTTTTATTGAATGAATTCTAGCAGTAAAAGATCTTTGCACATTCTCCAGATCAGCTGTTTCTCCAGCTTTGAATGGTACTATTAGTGTGCATCAATATTCCACCCTAGAGAGCACTAGTGTTTCAAAATGCATCATCACTGGTCTTGCATTTCTCATTTGAAAGGCTGTTGTTATCCATCGTGTCATTTTTCTTGTAGTTGTGACAGCTACTTTATTGTATTCTTTGAAGTAATGTTTTCCAACATGATTACTCCGACATCTTTTACATTTTTTTTTTGTTCTTTAATGTGCATTTTATGTATGATTTCCATTTATATATGTCTGCTTTTTCCAAAACACGGGAGCTGGAACTTAAAATCATTATCCATCCTATTATTATCTGTGGCCTATTGAAAGACCTGACTTACATCAGTTTGGAGATTTGCTGTGTCAATTATATTATCTACTCTCATTAATATCCTAAAGTAGTGTCATCTGTACAGGATGATATGGTACTATAGTTTGTGTCCTTGTCAAATGTCCAATAAGAGCTTGAGAGAACATATTGGAGCAACCACAGTACCTTGGGGGGACCAAGGTTTTCACAGTGGGTAATCTGAATTTAAAAATATCCAGATCACCTTGTTTATTGTGCACTGGGTTCTGTTCGTTAGGACATCAAAGATATGTCTTCCTACTTTGCCAGTAATTCCCTTTGTACATATTTTGTGTTCAATAACACCATGGTCACATTTGTTGAAAGCTTTTGTGAAATCTGTAAACATTGGAACCTCGATTCAATAATACCTGTACTGTACTTGATTGGGTGAATATCCAATTTGAACACAGGCTTTCCATGCCAGATTTACTCACCGAATTTGACAAACAACAGTTCACTGAAGCAGGGTATGTGTGGATTAGCTTAGGATGTCGGGACCGAGTTCACAGATGGCGGCACCATTACAAGAAAGAGTTAGGGTCTTGGGAAAGGCAATTTTGATATCTGTATTCACAAGACTGCACGCAGGAGAGATCCATAATAATTTACACTTGGAAAATACTAGGACTGGTTCCAAATCTAATCACAGAAATAACACCACATGAGAGCAGAAGGCATGGCAGGATTACACACAGAAATCACAATAACGTGATGCATCAATGAACAAATCCACAAGGGCCATGACGAGGATTCGAACCTAGATCAGAGATCATCCCAGACGCTGCCTTTTGACCATGTCGTAGCTCAGTCGATTAAGGCAGCGTCTGGGATGATCTCGGATGTAGGTTCAAATCCTTGTCACGGCCCTTGTGGATTTGTTCATGGCAGGAATTTCAAAGTAATGCCATTGAAAAGCAAAGGTGCAATAGGCACACTTGAGAGAGAATTCAATCTACATCAAAGGCCAAGACTTTTCAACTCTTTCCCCCTCTATACATATGGGGCATAACTGGCCAACCTCTCGCAGTGGTCAAAAAATGAACATGACAAACACCTTCAAAGGATACCTGATTAACCAGGCAATGACTCATATGTGAGGCAAATTGAATATCATGTGATAATTGGATACCGTTTGTGCCATTTGATTTATTTAATAAATGTATATTTTTTCTCGGTTAGTATCTTAAATGTTATTACAGGCCTCCCGACCCCAGAGTGTCAGTGGAGAGAATGGGCCTCAACCTGGAGCCTTCATCTGAAGATGAGGTGGGAGAAACTCCCGAAAAACCAGTCGACCTTGATGCTGTGAAGGAGAGGGGAAGGTTTGCTATGAGAAATTTATGTATTAACATATTGTAGCTTGAGGAAATACTTTAATTTCAAATATTTATTTTCCATAAAGCTAATTTTGAATGTAATTAAAGGCCACTAATTCCTATTGTTTTTATCCAAATTTTGAATTTCGTTCAAAATCTCACCTGAGGCTACTTTATAAATGCTGATTATGGGTGCAATATTTGAAAGAGGATATTTTTAACAAATGAAACACTATTCTTTTACTATTCCCTCAGATATTGTTACTTTAGCTCTAGCCTTGCACTCTCTGGCAACTTTCAACACCCTTTCCTTCGAATCCGATTTTTTGGGCTAAATTTTGACTATTTTAATTCAAACTTTTATTTCCTTCAAAATCTCACCTGAGGTAGTTTTAAACATGTTAATTAAGGTTGCGAGATCAAAAAGAAATAGATGGACATGAAACATTTTGATATACTGAACTATTTCCCTGTTGTTCTTGCAACAGCTTCTGGCTCATAACTTTAATCACTTTGCAGTAGCTTTTAACACTTTTGCTATCATTTGCCATTTTTAACGTTCAATTCTGAATATTTTTGTGCCAATTTTGAATTTCCTTCAAAAGTTTACCCGAGGTAATTTTATAAGTTTTGATTATGGTATGCCATTGACACTATGCTATTTTTAGTGTCCAATTTTGAATATTTTTGTCCGAATTTTGATTTCCTTCAAAACTTTACCTGAGGTAGTTTTATACGTTTTGATTACAGTAGTAGTAGTTGTGGGATGATTGAGGGCCAGAGAGCTCGAGTGTTTTTTAAATTTTGTTTGGGATAAACAAGAAATATTAAGAGTTAATGTAAGACATATTTTATTTTGATGAAAACAGCCAGTGTACAGTGAAGGTTTCGTTTCAGGTTTTTCTGTGAATTGTGTAACGTGTCGGCGACCTCTCAAGACCAGCTGGATGGTCACATGACAGGTCAGCGGCACTTGAAGGCTTTAAGGCTCAATGCGAAAAAAGCCACGTCTCCTTCAACAGGTCAGTGATGTGGTCTTGTTTACTGTACTCTTCTACGTCTTTTTAATTCTCGTTGGAAATGTAAAAGTTAATAAATGTAAAAATATTACTAAATAGTGCTCTTGTTAGAATGTATGAAAAGCTGAATTAGTCATGAAAAGACTGCTAAAAGCTTTGGTTCAGATTTTCTGATAGTTAAAGGAATTTTAGACGAGTTTGTCTCTTGTTCCAATTTAGTGTTACTAAAGTTTTGTCGTTCTGCATTTGTTTACTCATTTTATTTTATGTATGTCTTGTGAGTAAATTAATTGCTCAAAATATTGTATGCAATGAAGTTTTAAGTTCCAGGACAAAAGGTTCATTATTTTGAACTTCTATGTTCAGGTAGGTTAATGTTCTTTATTGACTATTTGTGTGTATGTTACTGTCTTCGTGTCATATTATAAAATATAATGCAGTGGGCATTAATATAATGATAGTGTAATTAGCATGATATTGATAGAAAAAGTATAATTAATATTCAGCATCTTTATTAAGGAAGAGTAAAAGTATTACATTTACCATTTGAAATATAAATAATTTATAATATGCATACATATTATAATATAATAATTAAGTTTGTTGGGGATAGAAAACCTGCGTATATATTTCGTTTAGGCTTGTATCAAGGTCTCGTTAACTTCCCACTACCAAGGTCGAACTACTGACCTTCTCCAGGACGCAACCCCATAACAGTTGCCCAGCTCCTGGGTACCTATTTACTGCTAGGTCAACAGAGACATTAGGTGAAGGGAAACGTATGCAAACATTTCTGTCCTGCCTGGGAAGAAAGAAAAAAACAAATTTCAATGCATAGTGATCTACAGACAAGTATTTTTTCAAAGCATAGGCAAGAATAAGAGAGAGGAGAGGGAGGGGAAAATGGTGACTCTGCAGCCCCTATCCTGACTACACTTTCAGGGGATATTTACAAGGACAGTCAAAATTAGATTACACCTACTTCGTTGCTAGCACTCCCTCCAACCCCGTTGCCAGCACTCCCTCCAAGCCCGTTGCCAGCACTCCCTCCAAGCCCATTGCCAGCACTCCCTCCAAGCCCGTTGCCAGCACTCCCTCCAACCCCTGCTTCTCTTCCAGGCCTCCATCCTTCACTAATTGCCCCCCTCACTTCTCTACCTGCTCCTCATAGTCTTCTTATCTCCCAATCCACTCCAACCAACTAGAATTCTTACTCCATTCTCCAATTTAACTTGTCACCCAAGCCTATCACTCTCTTCCTGTTAGCAATGTCTTCCGTGCTCAGTGGCATTAGCATAACCATTAGGATTTTGACCTCCGTTTTGTCTTGAGCTTAACATACTAAAAACAATATATGTAACAATTTTGAATTTGGCATCTTTTAGTGTATGTACTCTGGTCTGGGGGGTTTCTTTTACAAGTGTATGTTATTAAGTTGCTCCTTACCTGCTTATGGGTGATACAGCAGGTCTTTCTTGGGGTAAAGTGGTTCTACTGACCGGCCAGCCATCGGGGTTAACCTCTCCCCCCTCGTCCCCCCTATTCTCCTCCACCCCCTCCTCCTTCACCTTGATATTTATATAGATATTTATGATGGTCTGAGAGTATAGTATGGTTCCACTTGTGAACTGGAAAGTGAACATTTGTCTTGAACTGAGAATATTCTCAAGTTATAACTTGTTTGATTATAAATTATTGGTTTAAAATAAAAAAAATCTACGCTACTTTTCTTTGAAATGGTCTAAAGAATTTGGTTTTCTGTAAATGAAATTCTAGGGGATACTTAAATAGTTTTCAAATTTCATATTTCACATGTTTGAGCGTAATACACAATTTTAACATGATCAAACCTAATAAAACCTTACCTTTAACCTTACCTTAACATACCTGAACCTAATCTAACCATGAATAGGGAGTAGTTGATAGCACTAATTATTTAGTGGTTTTGAAGTGATTACCTCTAGGGTACCCCCTCCTTGAGGACAAGTTGGATACAGACAAGGTGGTGCTTTCTGGGGCAGTCCCAGGCATTTCTTGTGTGAATTGTTTTGGTTCCGAGGTCTTGATGTTGTCGGGATTGTCATTGATGCTGGTGGTTTGCTGGAAAACAAACTGGAAAGTTTTAGCTGTGAGTTAAAAGGTTCTGTTTTTGTCTTTACAACTTTGCTTGTACTGTGCTGTGAAATTATTTGGTAATAAATTAAATTGGATAGAGATGCAATCATAGAGCATTTGACTTTTGAGAATGTTGAACATGGTACCTGCTTGATACCTGCTTGATGGGGTTCTGGGAGTTCTTCTACTTCCCAAGCCCGGCCCGCAGGCTTGACTTGGTGATGTGCCATTACGTAGGATCAAAAGGTTTTAGCGGTCAAGCCTAGACATGATGTCACTGTTGACAACTCTGCTCTGGACCATTTTATTAAAGTAATTTATAATGCATCGAGTTCTGTTTCAGTAAAAAAAGTTGAGGGGAAACGAACACTCGTGTACTGGGGCATTAATTTTTCAACCACACACCAAGCAGAGGGCTGTGGCTTCTATGGCCTGCTTGCATTAGTGCCTGTCCTCTATTTGCAGTGTCAGAGCCACAGATGTTGCCAGAAGTCACAGTTGTAGGGGAGGGAGGGAATTATCAGAGGAAAATGCCAAGCCATTATGACTATATAGCCCTTGGAAGGGGTCAGGATGGGGATTTGGGATGGGACGGGGGAAAAGGAATGGTGCCCAGCCACTTGGACAGTTGGGGATTGAACACCGACCTGCATGATTGCTCTACCGTCCAGCTCAAGTGGTTGGGTTAAAGTTGTAAAAATAGCAGCCTTTTGTCCCAATATAAAGATTGTAGCAAGATTCTTGTCAAGGACCCAATGACAGGAAGCCATTGGCAAGCACACAGGAACTTGTAGTTTTTTTTTAGAGAACTAAGAACAGTAGTAAAATTACATTGTAAAGTTTTGCATCTGAAATTCATTATAACATTGTGAGGAAGTGATGTGTAGGTTAGAATAGATATAAAATACACAACAGGTTCTGAGTAATCAAATGTTACCAATGAGAAGGCTTCCACCCCACGCATAAGTGCGATGTTCTCTGAAGACTGGTCCTCCTGGATGTTCCTTCTGCTCAACTGCTTGACAATATGGGGTTATCAGAAAGCAAATATATTAAGAGCAACAGTGGAAGCTTATTAGATTGTTCATCTTATTACAAATTTGGATGAAATTATATATTCAATCATATTTAAAACCATATGTTGATTAGGAAATTTCTATGTGACTTCAGTATATTGATTTCTTTTTCTTGATGGTAAAATTTCAATCAAAGCTGCATCAAATCCTTTTATTTATTTATTTATTTATTCAGTTTTATCCAGTACTGTACTTGTTTAAGCACACACATACCAAGATGAGTGTCATCAACAAATGATGTATTTTCATCTTGGTGTTTCTTTACATAGGTGTCAGAATTTTGTGTTCTACAACCAGTATTATGCAGGAGACGAGTCACAATAACGTAGCTGAAGTATGTTGACCAGACCACACACTAGAAAGTGAAGTGACGATGACGTTTCGGTCCATCCTGGACCATTCTCAAGTTGATTGTGACAATTGACTTGAGAATGGTCCAGGATGAACTGAAACGTCGTCGTCCCTTCACTTTTTAGTGTGTGGTCTGGTCAACGGTCAGTATTAGTTTATACATGTTGTTGTAGTTGACCCCACAGTATTTTATAGCCCTAGGGTCTCATAACACTTCCCATCCTATGGTGATTGAAATCCCGTTCCAACTAATTTTCAGCAGGTATAAGATAATTGAGGTTTGCTTCGTCCCCTAGCCATATTAGTGTTAACTCAAATGATCTTGTAGATACCTCTTCGAAGGAGGCCATTTGTATCTTTCCCATCTACCAAAAGCAACTTCCTTCCTTGGTTACATACACAAATTACAATAGTGTGATGCAACAAATGAACAGATCCTCAAGGGCCGTGATGAGGATTTGAACCTACGTCTGAGAGCATCCCAGACGCTGCCTTAATCGACTGAGCTACGACATGGTCAAATCGACTGAGCTACGACATGGTCATAAAACAAATTTTGACCATGTCGTAGCTCAGTCGATTAAGGCAGTGTCTGGGATGCTCTCGGACGTAGGTTTGAATCCTCGTCACAACCCTTGTGGATCTGTTCCTTCCTTGGATTTGTGCCCTGTAATTCATGTTGCAGTCTACACCTGTTTAGGTGATCCTTGTTCGAGTATTACAAATAACAAACTGCAGTATTACATGTATCCTATCTCTATGGTCTTCTTCCTACTACTGTAATAGGTGAGAAATGGTGCTGGCTAGGCTGCATATTGGTTGCACACTCATGGGCACTTAATGAAACAAATACCTGCAGACAATGAGTCGCAATAATGTGGCTGAAGATAGGATGACCAAACCATACACCAGAAGTTGAAGAGATGACAATGTTTCGGTCCGTCCTGGTCCGTTATTAAGTCAATTGATAATCACAATCAACTTGATAATGGTCCGGGCCGGACTGAATCGTCATTGTCTGTTCATCTTCTGGTGTGTAGCTTAGTCAACAAAGCCCTGTACCTTATTGTCGAAACTGCATCTTACAGTCATGCACCTCATTATAGAATGTCCAGATATTCAAGATGATTGGAAATCTTGCTTTCCTTACAGGAAGAGCTACGATCAGTGTGTGTGTCATCTTTGTGTACTTTCATATAGATAATTTTTAAACTACCAATGGTTTTGGCACACTATATTCTAATGTTCATTCCATCCATTTACCACTTAGGTGTGGAGGTAAGACAATTCTTTTTTGTTTAAAATTTTCTTTAATTTACAACTGACCTCTTGTTGGTATCAAATTTAAAATATTACTCCTTGTTGGCATTTACATATCCCTGTATATATTTGGTCTATTTTTACTGTAATCTTCTTGAGGTCATCTTGAGGTGATCCCCGGTGGAGGCGGAGACAAATGATACCTGGTTGATACCTGGTTGATACCTGGTTGATGGGGTTCTGGGAGTTCTTCTACTCCCCAAGCCTGGCCCGAGGCCAGGCTTGACTTGTGAGAGTCTGGTCCACCAGGCTGTTGCTTGGAGCGGCCCGCAGGCCCACATACCCACCACAGCCCGGTTGGTCCGGCACTCCTTGGAGGAATAAATCTAGTTTCCTCTTGAAGATGTCCACGGTTGTTCCGGCAATATTTCTTATGCTTGCTGGGAGGACGTTGAACAACCGCGGACCTCTGATGTTTATACAGTGTTCTCTGATTGTGCCTATGGCACCTCTGCTCTTCACTGGTTCTATTCTACATTTTCTTCCATATCGTTCACTCCAGTACGTTGTTATTTTACTGTGTAGATTTGGTACTTGGCCCTCCAGTATCTTCCAGGTGTATATTATTTGATATCTCTCTCGTCTTCTTTCTAGTGAGTACATTTGGAGGGCTTTGAGACGATCCCAATAATTTAGGTGCTTTATTGCGTCTATGCGTGCCGTATATGTTCTCTGTATTCCCTCTATTTCAGCAATCTCTCCTGCTCTGAAGGGGGAAGTGAGTACTGAGCAGTACTCAAGACGGGACAACACAAGTGACTTGAAGAGTACAACCATTGTGATGGGATCCCTGGATTTGAAAGTTCTCGTAATCCATCCTATCATTTTTCTGGCTGTCGCAATATTTGCTTGGTTATGCTCCTTAAACGTTAGGTCGTCAGACATTATTATTCCCAAATCCTTTACGTGCTGTTTTCCTACTATGGGTACATTTGATTGTGTTTTGTACTCTGTATTATGTTTAAGGTCCTCAAAATGGGCAAAATGTTTCTTTCACCCTGATGCCCCTGTTATCTAGCAGTAAATAGGTACCTGGGAGTTAGACAGCTGCTACGGGCTGGTTCCTGGAAGGGTGTGTAACAAATAGGAGGCCTGGTCGAGGACCGGGCTGCGGGGACGCTAAGCCCCGAAATCATCTCAAGATAACTTCAAGATACTGGGTTTGGATTCCACTACTTCATTCAGACTGTGTTCCCGTGGTTTGCACTGTCTCAACAAGCAGCTTCAATGAGGAAGGTGTTGCCACGATGTTTTCTGGCTGTTCCACTAGTGATTGTGATTATTATGATAGTGGTATTGATGGTGATGATCATGGCATAAGCTTCAGGTGCAGTGTTTGCACAGTGCTTACATGCTAGCATTTATATATGGGTTAAGAGCTATCCCTGTGGGCTTTATCTCCTATCTATTTGTACTTGGTTATGTCTCTTGACATTTGGTCTCTGTTCAACATTTCCTTGCAGTGCAGGTGGAGTCAGCTTCTACCGCTACAGTACTACTTTAAGTTTATGTTGTAATTTAGTTGCTAGAACAGGTTTAGTATGGTTAACTAAACAAAAAAAAATTATTTGTGCTTGAGTGCAAGTCAAACTTTCAAAATGATTGAATGAATGGTTTCAATTAGTGGTTAAGGAATTAAGTTACGACACTTAAAACCCTCTGCAGGTACGGTCAAAATCAATAACATTTAGCTGTTTCTTACCAAGTTTTGATGTAATTCGGGGAAACCTCCACCATTATTCAGTGCTGAATGTTGACTTTTTATGTTGCTTATTTACAAGCAAAATTGTAAACATTAACTACATTAGTTACAAATAGTTACATATAGTGAAAGCTATTACGGTATTTATAAACATGTAAACATATTAAAAGAGATGAAAATAAATTTTGAATTATTAAAGTATTTCTATATTAATCTAAGTGGCAATTCTGAATCTTTCATCAGTGCTATACTGCTTGTTTAAATAAAAGACATCAGTTCTTACATTTTATTTGAATTACTAATGAATGAACACAAGTTTGGGTTGAATTTTGCAAACTACAAACTACAAACTAAAGGAATGATTTATTTACTACAATGATTAAAACTCAAGGAATGTAACCCGTGAGTTTCTATTCCCCAGGACCATGAAGTTGGCTCGTAGACTCGTTGTCAAGAGGGCAAAAAAACATTAACAGGTGTGCCGGCGGCTTGCCCCGGTGCCGTCTCTTACCACTGGCATCACCTCCACATTATTTTTCTTGGTTTGTTTCATTCATTTCTATTTGTTTATTATGAGTAACTCAACGTGCCAGTTGTTTCTTTGTAGGCACACATATATTATTGTATTTTAATTCTTTCATTTTGTTCTTGAGGAATTCATGATTATTGTTAAGAGAATTGTGTAAACGATGACAACTCAGTCAGTTTTTATATTTTAGAAGTTAAAAAGGAGAGAGATTTATATTAAAAAATATGAATGGAATACAGTAATCAGAAGCCAACTAAAAAATAACTGTGTAGGTTAAAAATAGTAACATAGAAATAAATAAGAACAAATCATTAATTTTGAGAGAAGTCAAGTTATATTTAAGTAGTGATTGCATATGAATTGTCTTCTTTAAACTTTGCAGTAGTAGTTAGTCAATATTTTAAGAAATATAAATTATAATCTCTTTTATATGTGTGTGTTAATAGGAAAACAAATGTTTTAATTTGTCAAATTAGGCTTAAGTGCCATAATTTTTATAACCTGCCATCAGATTGAAATTTACATCTGTGTGTGATACAGTATTATATTTGTCACCATAGAAAGCAACATCAGCATATAAATTTATAATTTCTCTGAAATTTGGAAATGGTGGAAGAGGTAGATATTTTTAAAGTCAGAATTTATTCTCAATGCATCCCTGTTATGACTACATTATCATTAGCCTCTGTTGCAATGATGGAAAGAGGAACGATCTTGATGCATGCAGCATTGATGTTATGATGTTATTATTACCTGTTGCTACAGAGATGGATAAAAAAAAAAAAAAAAAGAGCCATGTGTATGTTCGTGACGTAGCCTCATAATAGCTAAAGTTATATATTAGCCATTGCCGAGACAATGAAAAGATTAGCGTTTGTTCTTGACGCAACATTGTTTCTCTCTCATGACTTTAGCATTCACCAGCCTCGGCTGCCCTGCTGCAAAGATGATACATCGATTCTCTGTAACATATACATTTACTTTTAAATTGGGTTTGTATACTTGATTGCAATCAAATGATTTTACTAGTGTGTGATTGGAAATTTTTATGTAAGAATATCATGCGAGTTTTTATTTTTTAACGTAGATGTTTTAAGGCATAATTAATTTAAGCTGTGAGATGTGAGGTAGCATAAGGGACACATTGATTGTAACACACTGGAAACTATGATTAAAATTTTGCTTAACTTCCTTCTGAACTAAATGGTTAGAAGAAAGAAGCAAAATTTGATCAATGTATTCAACTCTGGTTTATTAATAATGAAAGATTTTAGGCTTAGTTGAAAAGATTAAAAATATACAGTATTCACACAATTTAACGACCTATATGGGGTTATGCCCTTCTCCGTAAATTAGGATTGTTGCTAAATCCAAAGTTGTTTAACGTTGGTAATATTTTGAGTCATTTTTGGGTCCCTAAATACTTTATGAAAATGATGTAACTCCCTCCCACCCACCAACATTTATCTCTTCCTCCCCTCCACCTATTATTATTCCTAACAAAGGTACATCCACCATAAAGGTACGTTTGTTATTCCTAACAAAGGTACGTCAATCCACACACACATACATCCCTTCCACACACATTTGCAGAGGAAGAGACTAGTACAGTCTGACAGTCACTCCAGGGAAACTCATAAGTACACTCCCATACCCACTCTGTGAAAACATTGTGGAAATTATTGGCGTAGCAATAATTATTGTCGTTATTGGGTTGCTGTGGCAACCCAATAACGACTGCCTTGTTTACCCTGTGGAAAATGTGTCAATTGAAGCCAATATGTTGATTCGGCAAATGAGGATCCAAATACTCTTCTCAAAATCAGTTAAGTACAGCGGGACATTAAATCAGATGTAGTTAAATTGGGTGAATACTCTGTATATATATTAACCCTTTCACGTTTTTGCCCCTTACCAATTTTGGGTGCTACCAATGTCTTGGGCCAAACACAAATCGCTTAGTGATACTGTATTTGACTTCCATTGCATACTGCAAAGTTACTATGCATGGTAGTGTTAAATTTGGTATTGCTTTTGAGCTAAAGAGTTGTACTTTATGAAGATGTTTTCAAAAATGCAATAAAAGTAAAATAAAATGACAAAGGCAAGTTAAAGTTAGCTGACATGATGGCAAAAATGACGACTACAGTGGTCATTGGAACGTTCTAGCGTTTTGAGCAAATGATGACTGTAGGCATCACAAAAACGTTAACGGGTTAATTGGATAAAAGATTAAATTGTTTGAGAATTGCAGTAATATTATTTTCCTGTGGTTACTATAACTGTACAATGCCTGACATGTGTTTTATATAAGCTGACTGGGTATACATTTCCAGCAGAAGCCAGAGAGTTAAGAAAATCTGTAGTTAACAGGTGCACGAGTTAAGGAGATACTGTACCACACTGGGTTTTGTCATATGCTTTCTTTGAGTCGTTATATAGTGATCGGTTAAATTATTATCTGCTTCCAAGCAGCATGACATCACAAGATAATGTGCAGGATAGGAATTAGTATCTTTTTGTCTTGTGCTACTACAGCAACTTTCATGGTAGTAATTACCAAAGTGTAATTACCTGATAGTAGATACAGGATGAGAACTATGCTCATTGTACTCTAGATTATGTGCACTTGGAGGTACAGTAATGGTCAAGTTTTCCCCTAAGTGAATATTCAGGATTTGCTATATTCTGTTTCATGCACAGCTTCAGTGGCAGCAGTCTTGGTTAGCGGCCAGTCCCCACCTTCAACACAGGTTTCTGACACTAGGTATAAATGGCCATTGAAAATTACAGGTTTACTCCGATTTTTTATTGCAAAGATTCACATTTTCCTTCTAGAAAAGGAATACTGTGCGTATTTTGTAAGTACCGGTACATGCCAATATTTGACCCTTCTACAAACGGTTTGAGTTTTCATAGCTGTGATATTAAGGCAATAGTTCCACACACATTCTTAGTAATTATTTTGGGGGAGTCTCCAACTTAACATTCTTTGTTTATTTTTTTGTTTCCAGTTATCCTGTTCCTGTTATAGTTCTTTCTCTTTCTCGTTGTACCACTTGAAATAAGGAGGTTGCTCTGCTTTTATTCTCATTTATAACTTTGTTAAATTTTGTAATTTTCTAAGCGATTAGGTTTATTATATGTAAAGTAGAATTCAAACTTTTTGTAAAGTTGGATGGAATGGATATGTGTGTGTGTGTGTGGTAGGGGGGGGGGGGGGGAGGGGAAGAAAACATTTGTACTTTGTTCCTTGTTTCCTGCAAAACTTTTCCATGTACTCTGAGTAGTATATATATATCTTGCAACCTCATTGACGTGTAGCATGTGGTAATGTTGATGTTCAAAGTTTTGTAAGCATTCTAGCCGGATAGTGCATTTCCTTGTCAAATTAGAAATTGAATCGTGTTGTGAGAGAATATTAAAGGTGTAATTAAGAATTTTGGTAAAATTTTGGTACGTAATTTGGTATATAAATTTGAGTTTTTTTTATATAAAATTTGTGAAAATTGCAGTACTGTATTGCCCTACATTTATGTAAATTTACTGCTTGGTTAATATGATAAAGATGTGTATCAGTGTGAGTCAGTGTGAGTATTAGGGTGGAGGGAAGACAGTCCAAATGCAATACAGGTTGCTATTTCAAGTGAATGCTTGGGATAATGTGGTAAGCATTTGAATGATATATGAGAAGTGACAATGAGCACAACTTTGTGAACGTGAATAATTATCAAAAAGTGCTTAGCCAGGATGACTGTGTACTGCTGAGGACTCGGTGGAAGGAGCTTGAGAGGAGTGAATGATTGACAACTTGTTTTTGTGATGATTCTTGTGGATTATTTTTGCACCGAGCCAAGGAACCAATTGCAGTGCTTCTGTGGTTGATGACCAAACCACACACCAGATGATGAGACGACGACGACGTTTTTGTCCGTCCTGGACCATTATCACACGACTTTATAGTGGTCCAGGACGGACTGAAATGTCGTCGTCTCCTCATCTTCTGGTGTGTGGTTTGGTCATCATATCTTCAGCCACGTTATTGTGACTCATCATCTGCATCTGACATTGTTTGCTAGAAGGGCGGCAATAGTTTTCAATGAGTCTATCGTGTTAGATATTTACACCGAATGGAGCTGAGGATAAATTGGAATATCTTTACTTACCTTTTCTGTTCTTTTCCAATGAAGATGGAGAGGGAGGAAATTATCAGGTGAAAAGCACCCATCTATTATAACTATATAGTAAACATCATTACTGCCCCATGGAGGGCATTGGGCAGTAATGACATTTTTAGGTATATTGATTGATTTTTTGACAATTTTCTTCATTAATTATAACTTTGAGTTATACTGAAGAAAGATTGAGCAGACTCGTCACTCAGTGGTGCCAACACCCCTTCATCCCCCTCCTATAGTGTGGAGGAGGCTGGGGCCAGATTCACGAAGCAGTTACGCAAGAACTTACGAACGTGTACATCTTTTCTCAATCTTTGGCGTCTTTGTTTACAATTATTAAACAGTTAATAAGCTCCAAAGCATCAGGAGGCTGTTTATAACAATAACAACAGTTGATTGGGAAGTTTTCATGCTTGTAAACTGTTTAATAAATGTAAATAAAGCCGCCAAAGATTGAGAAAAGATGTACACATTCATAAGTTCTTGCGTAACTGCTTCGTGAATCTGGCCCCTGGGCTCCAGCTCAGCTCTTATCAGTTACCTCAGGTTAATGAGGATTTGTTTTCTGCAGTGTCCAGGTGTCCTAATGGTTCCTCAATATAAATCTTGTGTACTATAGTGGGGTGCTGGAAGTATTCTTTTTTATGAATTTATATTAGGATCTTAGTCTATGCTTCCTTAGGTCTTTTTGATATGGGAATTTTGTCAATTTCAGTGTTTGATTGTATAGCGGGTTAAATCTTTGTGGCACTGGTAATGTTGTGACTGATTGGGATTGGATATTCTTCTACCCAGTAGCTCCTTTTAGTACACACAAATGGGTCACTTTTCTGAAGGTTGCTCTTGCATTAACTGAAGCTGCAACATTGGGTCGAGTAATGTGAGGATTTACTAGTATGGGGGCTGTGCTGCAGTGCACTTGGTAGACCAAACCACACATTAGAAAGTGAAGGGACGACAATGTTTCAGTACGCCCTGGATCATTCTCAAGTCGATTGGGAGAATGGTCCACAATCGATTTGAGAATGGTCAACAATCGATTTGAGAATGGCCCAGGACGGACCGAAACGTTGTCTTCCCTTCATTTTCTAGTGTGTGGTTTGGTCAACATATTTCAGCCACGTTATTGTGACTCCTCGTCTTCACTTAGTAGCCTCTTAACTTATGCATTTGCTCAACATTTGCTTTCTACTTAATTGTCCATTGAAATTGTGTCCACTTTGTTCTTCAGGCATATATAGTTGTGAAGAGTATCTGATAAGTAGGTTATTAATGCATGTTCACCTATATACACTGATATACAGTATGGGAATAAGTACACCGAGAGTAGCTTTTTGTAACGGCATGTTTTCCTAAACTGGTTGTCGTACAACTATATATATTAAATTTTACTTCATTCTACTTTGCTCTGATGAAGGCGAATTAAGCCGAAAACGCGTTAAACATTCTCTATTTTTTACATGTGGTTTTTCCGCATATTAAATTTTATATATGAGCACCTTTCATTATTAAACAGTACTGGATATTGTTTCAGATTTCCTCCTTAATTTACTCTGGTCTGATATAAACTATAGTTAATTGTAGCTACAATACATGAAACATTAGATAGTTTGTCTTCTAAGATAAAGCAAGGGTATGATAATAGGTTTTAGCATAAGTTTTCTTATCACAATGAGCAAAAGTTTATTTGCCACACCCAACAAAGAGAGAGTTGTTATTAAAACTGAGCATTAATGAAGTGTATACAAAAGTTGATGGTAGACTGACAAATATTCCTGGATGTGGTGTGTATTACTTTTGTCCTTATGTAAAAGATAATTGATGTTTTGATGTAATGGCTAAATAAACAAGTAGAATTTGTGGACAAAATTCATTACCAACAGCTAATCAAACTGTAACTTTGTGGGATCACAAAAGTTATTGTAATATGACTTTTTAACATGTAGCTTAAAAGAAATGAATTAAATTGATTACGATGCACTTAGTTGCAATGTAGTTACACTTGTATAGAGATCCAGATATAGAGTGCACTTAGTGCTCTATATCTGGCTAATGTTATTTTTAGGGTTCTGATTAATAATAGAATATAACATGACTAGTCTTGACTTCTAGGAGGGGTGTGTTCATTCAAACCTATAATTAGATAACCACATCAGTACAAATGCATGATAAAATTTAACGCTTCCCTTGACTCGGCAGGCCACCCGCATCGCACTGCAAGGTAACCTGGGCTTGCCGATGAGCACCCAACCCAGTGTTAAAATCTTTCACTCGGTGTTTATATTTAATAATAAGAATAAGTAAAAATTAATGCATGATGGCGAGAGGGTCATGCCTTGAATTGCGGGGGCATGTTGCTCCCAATATTTTGTCACGGAACTGCTAGTGTTTCTCCTTTGGTGGGATTTTGCACTTTTTAATTTGTTAAACATTCATGTTATTGTTCTTTACAGCCCCCTCACCTCAAATGCACCCCAACATCACCTACCCACACCTCAAACAACACTGTTCCCTCGCTCGACAACCTAGCAAAGTCCTCCATTGCACACGTACCCTTCTCGCAACACACCTCTCACACACGCCCATTCAAACACATCTCTCGTCCATCAGAGCACATAATCTGTCCACGCCTCATAAGTGTGCACTGTACCTGCCACACAGCTGCTACCCTTGAATGCCACCCTTGGAGGAGGTCTGACAGCTGAGTGGACAGAGCTTTGGATTCGTAGTCCTGAGGTTCCGGGTTCGATCCCAGGTGGAGGCGGAAACATCCCTCATCAGGGTGAAAGTTTCTTTCACCCTGATGCCCCTGTTACCTAGCAGTAAATAGGTACTTAGGATTTAGAAAGCTGCTATGGGCTGCTTCCTGGGTGGTGTGTGTAACAAAAAGGTCTGGTCGAGGACCCGGCCGCGGGGACGCTAAGCCCAGAAATCATCTCGAGATGACCTCAAGATAACCACCTCGACCCAACCCTCACTCCCATCAATCTACAACCCCATTATTCCCCCCCCCAACCATCCTACACTGAAGAACTGCGATCCCCAATCCAAGAAGTGCAGAAGGGAGTGGG